GGTGGATGGATGTGGCTGTACCCTTTAGATCGGGCCGCGGCTAATGCCACCTAGCTGTAATACTTAGTGAACTAACCACTAGATTTATTTTTTTTTCCCTTTAAATAGTGAAATTGAGGATTCGTACTTTGCAGTGAAGGGTTTAATTTTCACTCGTGCTTTCACTTTAGCCACCAATCAGATAACCTCCTTCTAGTTAATTCTACCCACTTAAAGTCTATTTTGCCCTCCCTGTCCCTAAATCCCAGTGCTTTGAAAAACTCTGCGCCATCATCCTGAACTATAGGGTGAAGCCCTTTACAGAACATTATCAAGTGGTCGGCAGTTTCTTCTTCCTCCCCCACACGCACTGCAAACTGTGTCTACCCCTTCGTATTTGGCTCGATATGTCTTGGTTCGCAATACTCCCGTCTTGACCTCAAACAGTAGAACTACCCCGAGTATTATCATAGATCCTTTCCTTGGCAATTTCCTGCTTAAAAGTTCGATAGATCTCTAGTGCGGACTTCTTAATCATGTCCATTCTCCACATGTCAGTCTCCGTTTTTCTTCACTTTCTTCTTAACCGATAGTTCTCTTTGGTTTGGCCACCTGCTGTTTTCTAAGTATTTACCAGTCAATTTCCTGGTTCGCTTCTTCCATTTCGTATCGACATTCTTCATGTACAAGTAGCTGAAAACCTTCCTAGCCCCACGCTCCTACCACATTTCTCTCAATTGCTTCTCAAATTTTATCTTGCTGCTAGTTTCCCTGCCCTCAAATGATGTCCGTCCCATATAACCTTGTACTCCCTGATTTGGTGCATCCTCGTGAGCTCCTAATGCAAGCCTATCTATTCCACGTTGCTTAATTTCTAATCTTGCTTGAACTTCTGATCTCATGCACAAGACTGCATTGCCGAACGTCAGCACAGGAACCAGGACCCCTTTCCATATACCTCTCACAACATCATACCTATTGTAATTCCACAGTGCACTATTTTTCATCACTGCTGCACTCCTGTTAGCTTCTTTGCACGTATATTTCATGTTCCCTTAGGTACTTGGTCCCATTGCTTATCCATACGCCCAAATATTTGTATTTATCTGTTGTCTCTAGCGTGATTTGTATTGTAAGCTCACTACATTCGTTGTCATTGAAAATCATGACTGCTGATTTTTCCTTACTGAATCCAAAATCTAACCTATCTCCCTCATTACCGCAGATGTCCATCAATTTCTGCAAATCTTCCTTGTTGTCGGCCATTAGCACTATATCACCTGCGTACATTAATGCTGGTAAAGCCTGATCAATAAGTTTTCCTTATTTAACTAAAGAGAGGTTGAAGCCAAGTCCACTTCCCTCTAATTTGGCCTCTAATCCTTGTAGGTACATCATGAATAACAAGGGTGACAGAGGACACCCCTGCCTAAGTCCCCGTTTCACCTCTGGGCTTGGATACCTGTTTTTTTCCTCTTCATAACTACCTTGTTACTTTTATAGATTTCCCTTAAAAGATTAGTGACTCCATCTTCCACACCCAGTGTGACTAGTATTCTCCACAAGTCCTCTTGAACCATGCTATCGTACGCTCCCTTGGTATCCGAAAATTCTAGCCACAAGGGCCCGAGTTCCTTTTCTGCTATTTCGATGCACTGCGTCAGTGAGAACAGATTGTCTTCCAACCTCCTGTGTTTCCGAAACCCTTTCTGCAGTTCCCCCAACAAGGGAGTGGAAGAACAGCGCCGCGTCGCGGCACGCAGCCGAACTACCTCTATTACATTTTTTCAAAGGCGCGCGCGCTGAATGGGACGGCCGTGACTGAAGGAACCGCCGCTCCAATGGAAAAGCGGGCGACGCGCGGACATCTAGTAAATGAGGCGTTGGCTGGAACAGTGTGTGTTGGTTGCGGGGGGGGGGGAGCTTTGTGGTGTGTTTGAGAAAGAGGGATAAATTATGAAAGCTATTCATGCTGCATGTCTATACAATGAATAAATACTGCTTTTATTTGCACACTTCCGCACTTGGCGTGTCATAGTCTCGGTCTCGTAGTGGTCCTTGGGGAATTACCAGCACCAGTACGTGATATCTCTGTAGAGTATAGTAAAGCTAATCAAAGCTAAGTGCACATCAAAACCAGCGTGTAGGCTTTCATTACTTTATAAAGATGCATTTGCAATGATCCCCCTCTCTTCCTTATGTAAAGTGTTGTCAGACATTGTGAATTAATCAATATTGCTTGGGTTGGCTTTTTTTCGCTGCTTGGACGCTTAATGCCAAAGCCCAGGAAAAAAAATCAATTGATGGCAGTAACGCATAACAATTAACAACGTTACCGGTAATATACAATGCTTGCTAGTGACTCACAATAACAAAACCGTTAATATTTTAAAACTGTAGCAGGTAACCCACAACATATACTTCCGCTGACATTTTTCGGTAGCCTGAAAGGGTGCACGTTACTAGTTACTTTTTATTACAGTAATGCATTTCACATTATTTTTCAAGCAATCTCGGTTCTTGCACTAATTATGCAAACAGTGCTACTATTTAGATCCACTACTACTATATAAGACATTATTATGGTTGCACTACATTTATTTGCTGTTTTAATTTTGTGTGGAAGCACTGCACATTGTGGCATGTTTGAACATCAAAAATACTTTTGATAGTTATCTTCAGTAGTGTCATGGTGAGAAAATAATTGCACTGGCTACCACAGATGCCTCAGAAGTCATCAGATGTAACTTACGCTACTAACACTATATTTCAAATACTTATTGGAGCAGGCTAGACTCAAGCTATGCTTAAAACAAGCCATTTGATGACTTAGCATTACATCTGATTATTCATTATAAATGTGCTACTCCATATCAAGTTCTTGTGAATGTAGCGAGCTCCATTCATTCTAACTTGTAAGAGCTTTCGATTATTCGTGTTTGTGTAATGCTTTTTGGCCATTTTTTAAACGCTCATTTTCCCCTTGAACCACCAGTGAATGAAACATGCTGCCATGATACACTTGGTGAAATTACAAATTTATCGGGCACTTTCGGCCTCCCAAATTAACTACTGCATGCTTGTGTGGGACACCACTACAGATACTAACATACACAAACTTCTTGTTCTTCAGAAACGTGCACTTCGAATTATAGCCAACGTTCCACATCTGCACACAATATTACCTCTTTTTGCAAAATTTAACATAATCAGAGTCACTGAGGTGTATCAGTTTCGTTTGCTGTACTCGTACTTCTTTTCCTCTAAAATGGTATCTTCTTTTAAAATCGCTGACAGGACTACAATGGCAGTTCAGTGACCAATGCACCCGTAGTAAGGACAAATAGCTTGCCCCAAAAAGGCATGCTAATTACCTAAGACAATCAATTGTCTACACTGTCCTTTCGCTTTTAATAAGCATGGAAACGAAAATATATGAGCCATCTTTTCTTGGTTCCAACGATTCATGATGCCTGTGTGTGAGAACACGTATGTAGATCTACTAAACGATTTGCTAAAAGCATCGCTCTTTTTTTATATATTTATGGTATTTATTTCTAGTTTTAATTATCACATGAAGTTGCATTGCCTTACTGCTTTTTGTTCTTCAATGACTGTCAAATGATCACTGTTGTACACAAACTCATTTCTTATGTATTCTTAATAATATGACTAAATATACGAATAGTGCAACTTAAATGTAGTTACAGTGTAACTACGGAAGTAAAGAAACAAGGATAGAAAACTGTTTCTTCGCTTTTATAGTTTCACTGTATCTACTTTCAAGTTGAACTGTTCGTATACTCGGTCATATTAATAACAACACATAAGAAATTAGTTGTATGATTGCGCCGGATACCACATAATTCCATAACTATGGAAGCGAAGTAACGAAGATAGAAAAAAGAACAGAAAAGTGTTTCTTGGCTTCAATAGTTACACTGTAACTACTCTTAAGCTGCGCTGTTTGTATATTCATTTCTATTACCATCTTGCCCAAGTTTCCTCATTTATTAATATGTTCCTATTATTACAACCCATGTATGATATTATACTTTAATTTGCTGTCCGCTGTCTATATAGCACTGTCGTAAAGGGCTTTCAGGCATTCTCAAGCTGTTCGTAACAGCGTTTTGCATGAAAGACCCCCAACAAATTGTAAACAAACTGTTGGAAATAATTATTTGATTGATTGATCTTTCAGAAGGTGGCCCAGTTTTGAAGAACAGATATGCATGATTTTGAATAATCTGCATCATTGATAAAGCCATGGTTTTGTTTCTACTTTGACAGCTCTTGAACAAGCAGTTTGTGCTAGAATACACAGAAGCACTAAAGGTGGATGTTATATTGAGTAAATATAACTTTATTTACACTGAGACCTCAATATAACAAAGTTGTATGTTGCACTAAAATAAGTTTGTTATATCAAAAAATTCGTTATAAAGGTATATTCCTAGCACTGTATCTACTACAAGACTACTCTTGATTTACTTCATCATAACCGATATTTTGTTATATCCAGATTCGTTTTATCAAGGTATGAGTGTACTCACTTGACTAGTACACCTCAATTGGTTACATCTATTTATCGCCCCTATGAGGACCCACTTTATCCCACTGAGCTCGAGCTGTTTCACTCGTACTACTTTCCAGTCGCAGCCGAAATGGCCATCTGGCCACCTGTGAGTATTGCAAAATGCGTCATGTATAAAGTTTTAAATAAAATACGCTATCTTTGTTCCACGGCTACAGTGATTGGAAGAAGTTCTAATGGGTGAGACACAGCAATTATCTGTGGTTGCTTGCTCAGTGACCATTGTAAGGTCTAATCAAGTGGCTGATGAATTTGTCACATAAGCTGGGAACGTGCAGGTGATGATGTTTAAGTGATTATATGTAAAGAAGATGAAAAAGTTCTTTGTTCGTCATGTGAAATGGAAGAGTTATTTGTTTGTTATGTTCACATTCCTTTCCAAATCGGTCTTCTCACTGTTGCACATAATGAACAAAAAATGCAGGAAGGAGTGGCCTTGGAAAGTCAACGCTCATCAACACCCTCTTCAAGGCCAACATCAGCCGGAGGTCGTGCACGAAGAAAGGATCCGAAGGAACAGAGCCGGCCCCTTACATCATTCCCAAGACAACTGAAGTCAAATCAGTGAGCCATGGTGAGCGACTTACCCCCGTATTCTAGAATCTCCCCTTCACTCAACGCTCCACCTTAACTTGAGAAAGTCGACGGGAGCGCCCTCTCTAGGCATAGCGAGTCACTGCGTATCACTGATAAAGTTCAGCGATTCTTGAGAAGTGCATCGTCATTTTCGATTGAGCAGTGGCGCAATGCTCAGCTCTGTCAACTTAAAAACGAAATTCGAGTCGGGGAGCACTCGTGACCACAGGGGTGGCTCCACAGCCCTAAAGTCTGGGCAGCCTTGCTAGTGAAATGTGCATATCTCAGGCAAACATATTTAACTAGCACCTATAATAATGATTTATGAGGTCGCACATGCTGAAAACACAATAAGGGACACTGCAGTGAAAGAATTCAGATTAATTTAGACACCTGGGGTTCTTCAATGTACGCCTAAATTTCAGTACACATGTGTTCTTGAATTTAGCCCTCATCATCATCTGTCAGCCCAGGCCGGGAATCGAGCCCACACCCTTGGATCTATAACCACTTTAATTAAAGTATTATTCTTTTAACCCTTATAACCACCTGCTCACACTTAAAAAAGCTAGAAACAATACCCATTAGTACCCACTTCTTTTTGATAAGCTATTGTAAGGGCGCTTTTCAAACTGATGGCGTCTGTCTTTTCATACCTGTCATACATATTTTTTTGTTTTTTTTACAATGAGGTAATTCTATGGTGGCTGTTGAAATGTGTATTGTCCTGTACTTCGTATTATATTACTCCTACGCAATACTTACTATGTCGTGCACAAATAATGTTATTTTATTCTACTGCCCTGTAATTGTAGTCTGTGAAAATCTTCCTTTACAATGTATTGAATTGTACTGTATACCGCCCTCACCCTATGCCTCTCACGGGGCCTGTGAGGTATTCTCAGATAAATAAATAAATAAATAATACAACTGAGCTACAGACAACGAAAATGCCATGCCTTGTAGAGTAGCATTGCATTTAACTACACTTCATGTCCGTGTGCTTAAAACAGGCACATTAATGTTGATTGTGTTACTATTTAATTATCCTTTGTAACTGTGCTTACTAACATAGGAAACAGCTACACATAGCAACAGTAGTTGTCATCCATACAACAACAACAACAAAAATGCTGCATTTAGAGCGAGCAGTGTTCTCTTGAACTTTGTTGCAGGCAAAAGCACATGCCCAAAGAGAAAAATATTTGACATATCTTTTTTTTTGTATGTTACAACGTCGAGATCAGTTCTGTCAGTGACACGAAATAACCGAGGAGTCTTGCGCTGACGGAGCTTTGCAGAAAACAAGGACAAACAAATAAATATTATTTGATCTCTAAAACTTTTCCACAGCTTTTAACTGTGGCCAACTCAGAGGAGGCCTCACATTTCTAATGTGACTCAAGGTAACAGGAGAAGTGTCCTAGGCTTGAATGGCTTGGTGTAGTCGGCAGTAATGACACCAAGGTTCATATGCACAGACTGTGCCAATTCTTGTGCATGCCCATGCCTCCTGCTCTCGTTCACAATATACTTAACTGTGAGTTCATAATGAGCCCATAATTTGGTTCTTCTACTACCAAAGCAAATATAGTAGTGATATATTATGTATCCATAAGCCAATCTTTCAAGAGGAAATAGTAAGAAAGCATGAGAACAAACATGCACGAGATTGAACCTGAAATGATTCAGAGGTTAGGTAATAAATGTGTTAGTTTGGAGAGTATAAAGTGTTACAGTTCTTGCAATCGGCGTTTACAAACTGTTGGGAAGCATTTAACTGCTTCAGACATGTGCTGTGAAGTGGCCGATTCGCTGTATATGTGTGAAAAAAATGGCTCTGATAAATCTTTACAAGTCAGTGCTGTCAATCGTGCATTCCCTTTCTGTGAACCGATTTACGTGTGCTGCTTCACTTATAGTGATACGTACTCAGCCGTGGGCAACGATGTTCTTGCATGATGTCTGTCGTGTTCCGGTTCTAATTACTACAATATCTGCAGAGTGCTTATTCCATTGAACGCGCGTGCAAAAATTAAATGCCTGTCTTCAATGAATGCTTCTATCTCATGCCTGACAATTAGCGTATTCTTGCTTACTCGGCGTTATGATTGCAAGGCTAAAGCAGATTGTAAGCTCCCATACAGCACTCAATTCTGGTGCTGCTAGCATTATGCGTTATTTGTATTTTTACTGCAGTAATCGAAGAGAAGGGCACAAGGCTTCGGCTGACTGTCACAGATACGCCAGGCTTTGGTGACCAGATTAACAATGAGAACTGGTAAGTGTGGTCTGCTAAGCTTTCACTTATTTGCTTCAATAATTATTAGATAAGTTGGATGCAATAAGTTGGGTGCATCTTTACCAATGCACACATAACAGGAGTTGCTTTGGAAACCCACTGCATGAGCTATAAAAAGTTATTCCTAGTTGAACAAATTTTTTAGAGGGGTGGAGGCCATAGGTTCATCCAGCCTTTATAGATGTTTGATCATGCTTTTGCATGTGTGGATGAATATATGCATGCGGGAAATTTCAAAATTTCAGGCGTGGGGGTTGAGGTGCTAGCACAATGTACTATTCTGTCTACACATGAAGCTATCAAACAACGTTTAAAATTGTACACATAACTAATTGAACTAAGAGTGTAACTTTTCTTTAAAAAAAGTGGTGAATGTGTGTTCTTCATCTTATGTTATAATTGTGACAATTGGTAATTAATGCGACAAGAGGTAATGAACTATGGTGAACGTGGGACTTTCACAACAACGAAGAAAAGCTTTCGACAGGCTGTTGCTGTGACTCCATGAAGCCTTACTTTTTTCAAACCGAGTATAAAGTGTCACATGAGCTTGTTGTTAGCTTCCTGGATCATGCCGACTTATTTCTGACCTAGCTTCACGACTTGACTACATTTGTCAGATAAAGCAAATGAAGTGATGTGTCAGTAGAGCAAATATATCGGCAGCCCCTCACAAGGTGAACTTGTACCTATGTGCAAATTAGTCATGCACTCATCGACTTACTCAGTTTGCAGCACTCGATTGGCTTGCTCACTAACTAGGTACCTGACACACTACCTCAATGACTGATTAGCTTTTAGGGGCGAAGCTCCTTAAGACCTCACGATGTCTGCCGTCTCCCATCTGTCCGTAACACGTCTTCATCTGTCTGACATTTCTGAACCATTTTCCATGTAATCTTCAACTTATAAGCAACAGTGCGGTTGGTGATAACCGTTTTGCATGTAACCTTCAACTTATAAGCAACAGAGGGTGCTGTGGTTAATTGTAGATGTGATGGCGCTGCTATCAACACTATATATCAACCACGTTCCATACCACATATTCTCTTCCCTCGTATGAACGAAGACGAACGCAGGAAAGCGCGACGTGCTGAGTATCAGCGTCACCGTCGACGAGAAGCTACCGCGGAGACAAAAGAGGAGAAAGCGAATGCAAAGCGGCGACGGCGACAACAAAGTTCTACACCACAGACTAGGGCTAAGGAAGCAAAGGCTAAGCGGGAAAAACGCCAAGCTGACGCGCAGTTGAGACAACTTGAAGCGGATGCAAGGCGGCAATACCGACGAGAAAATTCTACACCAGAGACGATAGCTAATGAAGCTGATAGCTAATGAAGCTGCTATCTCTTCGAATAAAAAAAAATATATAAGTATCACAACCACAATCAGTCTCAGTACTATCTCAACTTTAATCACAATAATCACCTCCGAAAGCTTTGCCCCATAATTATCTTCAAGCAACTTGAAATACAGTAATATTTTTTAACTGATTATTTAACTGAACAAGTAACTATAACTAATTGATCAATTATCTAGCTAATTGACTGGTTGTTTGATTGCTCAGCTAACTAGGTGATTTGCCGATATATTTAGCTAACTGACCAAGCAGTTGGCTGACTGACTACTTAGCTTGCTAAGCCATGTATGTATTTAGCTAAATGACTAATGAACTACTTACTAGTCTGCTGACTGACTAGCTAGCTGTCTCAGTAGTCAGTTAATTGATGGATTAATAAACTAACCAGCCAACTGACAAACGAGCTAGTTGTATTATTCATCAAATATAAGGCTGACTGATGCACTATTTCAATAGCTTGCCAAGTAGTTATTGTCCGACTGCCTTGCAAATTAGCTCAGTAACTGATGTACTAACTATCAGACTGATTAGTCAGCTAGCAAGATCTCATCAATAAGCTAGTTGATATACCAACCTGGGAGCTAACAGGCCAAATCGCTGATTGACTGGCTATCTAGCTTGATTAATAAGTTACCATATGAGCAGACAACTAATTAACCAGCTACTAACTGACTGGCTGAATGAGCAGCAAGATAACTGACGCATCAGCCGGTTAATTGATTGACTGTTCGGCTAGAAAATTGACCAGTAAGCCAGCTAGATGCCTCGTCAACAATTATAATCATAGTAGTAATACGCAGGGTTTCATGTCCCAAAACCACAATGTGATTATAGGAGACGCTGTAGCGGAGCTCTCCGGGAATATAGACCATCTGGAGTTCTTTAACGTGCACTGACATCGAACAGCACAATAACCTGCACTGTTACGCCACCATCGAAATGCAATTGTCGCGGCTCGGATTGAACCTGCGCCCTTCGGGGTGGCAGCTGAGACTCGTTATCAATTACATAGCTAACTCATATGCTAGCTATCTAGGTGAACAAGCTGATTGACTAACCGCCTAGCCATTGACTTGGTAACTGATCCGCTCAGTGGCCAACCGAACGATAGGGCTACTAGATAGCTGATAACCTGCACCGACTACTGCTAACGTGTCACCCTCCCTTTCCCTCACAGCTGGCTGCCCATTCTGGAGTACATCAACGAGCAGTACGAGAAGTACCTCAGCGAAGAGCAGAGCGTCACGCGGAAGAGGCACATCCCAGACACGCGGGTCCACTGCTGCCTCTATTTCGTGCCCCCAACAGGACACGCGTGAGTGTGTGAAAAAAATGTGCACGAGGTATTTCCAGTTAGTCGACAATCAATCCCCATTCGAGCTTGGCAACTAAGCATCGGTGACTGCTGTGAAATTAATAGTATTATAATGAAGCCAACATGATGAAATACTTTGTGTGGAGAGGTTGAATGAACAAAAGCACATGCTTCAGACAGGATGGCCACAATTTCAATTGGAGGACCTTGTCCAAGGAAATGGTACCTCCATAACAGTCAACATGCTTTTTACCCACATATCTATTTGGGTGCTAACACTTATGGTAAAGATGTTTATATTTACCATGTTGTATCCAATATATATATATAAATTACTATATAACCATATATTACAATGTTGTATATTTCAATATATACATGTTCACAGCATTACTGTTCAACCGTACTTGTGGAATGTCCAGCTCTCGACAGGAAAATATGATTTCAATGCCACAAATATATAAAACATAACAATATCACAAATATAAAATAATTATCAATTTGCTTTATTTTTGTGGACTGCTGATATATGTAGATCAGTGATTCTGAGATTCATATGCACATTGTTTTCCGAGAACTAATGACTTGTATGGCAGGTGCATGAAAGTGTATCAAATGTTGAGTGCACAGATAATGTATGGAAGTGACACAGCTGGGATGTTACATGCCTAATAGCAAGTTACTATATGAATAGAAAATCACTCATAGTTTCTAAGTCTAAGAAAGGACGTGAGATAGAAACAGCCTAGTAATAAGATAAATCTGTGTATTAAGGAAGACACTTACAGCTGTCTTTTTCAGTTGTCCAGCACATAACCAAGGGTGCAGTAACACGAAGCATGGCAAAGGCTTAATCGTGGAATTGCCCCTTCCAACAACGCACGCTTTCCTTTGCAGCCTCACGCCTCTGGACATTGAGTTCATGAAGAGGCTCGACAAATGCGTCAATATCGTTCCAGTCATAGCAAAGGCGGACACACTGACGCTCGAAGAGCGGAGCAACTTCAAGCAGAGGGTGAGCCGATGCTTTTTAGATGTAAAGTACCTTAGGGTCGAGCTTGATGCGGTGTGCGGCGTGACCACCTTTACTGCGCATGCACCCCCCCGTTCCCTTTCTTCCTTAAACTCCCCCCTTTCTCGCCTTTCGACCCCTACACAGGCAGCACCTGCTAGCCTACGCTCGTTCCCCCTTTCTCTCCTCTAGGCATCCCTCCCCACAGCGTTAACACCCCCAGAGCGCATGTGTGCCCCTCCCCCTCTTTTCCGCTCCCCCTCTCTCACTTCGCAACGCTGATTCAGGCAGCATTTGCTAGCCTACACTCGCTCCTCCTCTTTCTCCTCCAGGCATCCCTCTCCACAGCGTTAACACCGCCACTGCGCATGCGTGCCCCTGCCCCCTCTCCTACCCTCTCTCTCGCCTCACAATGCGGACAGCGTCTGCTAGCGAGTTTCTTGATTGAAAAAACGTACTGCTCGCGCCAACCAAAGCACAACAAATCAACCCAACAAAGCACTAATTGACCTCGAATTGCATTCCCTAGAACTGCGAAGGGTAGACAGCAAGTTAATAATTATTAAGGCCCATTAAAATGTTCCATCAGCCTTGACATGAATTGAAATGCCTCACACACGTTTCTTTTCTCATCGGCTCTATGGCAGTAAGAACATCATGCAAGATCATAGCACCTGCAGAGGTGGTGTCTCAGGGCCAAATCAAGCATGCAGCGGCGAGCCGGCAGGGAAAGCGGGAACGAAACACTTTCTCCGTTGCACAGCCGTGATCCACTTATTTCGCTTCCAAATAAAACAAGAACGAGTCGAGAAACTGTAAAACGTCGTTCCCGCAGGACACGACATGTACCCATTGGTACAGTTGACCTCGCAGCAGTTCATGATTCTGATGAGCGGGCATTGCGAGAGCTTGTGATTCTGCTCCGACGGCGGCGACGCGGTGCACCAGTAATCACTCACGGAGTGTATACCTGAAGCTCTGAAAGAGTCAAGCTCAGGTTTAAAAAAGTTGACTGTTGGGCAAGTTGGTGTTTTGACATAAAAAGTCTGCTCCTTCTCGTGTGTCCTGCTTAGTTGCTCAAATTTTTGTGAAACTGCTGTACTTACAATCATGCATCGCTTTCACTGATTTCAGATCCGAGAAGACCTGCAGAAGAATGGAATCAGTGTGTACCCCGTGCAAGAGTTCGAAGACGACCCCGAGGAAACTGTCCTCAACAACAAGATCAGGGTGAGCCACTGTTACGAAGCATGTGAATCAATGAACAGTGAAAACCAACTGACAGCCGAAGCCAAGGAAAGAACGGGGAGGTTATTTGTAGTAAAAGACAACTTGTCACCAGCAGAAACCGAACCTGGAACCTCCAAATGACACATCCAATGCTCTATCAATTGATCTGCGGCAATGGTCATCGTCCCACCCACTTTATGGGGTATATACACTCCATTAGAAGCTCAATATAACGAACCATTATAAAATGAAATATGGGTAATGAAGAATAGCCTTGCAATAGATACTGCAATAATTCAAGATCACAAAAGAAGAGCCACTAAGAATGAAAAATGGACACCTGCGGTTCTAATGAAATACTTAATTGTGTACGCATGCATTCACTGTTTTCAAGAAAACGAATGAGACAGTGGAAATGGCGGAAGAGGAGGGCGGGATGCACTTGCTCCGTCATTGGGGCATATTGCAAGTCTCGAAAAAAGGAGAGAGGCGCTTGATCGGCCGGGCAACACTTGGAAATTTTATGGTGTGCAGCTCGAAATGCTCACTTCAGCGAAAAGCTATGGGATTTAAGTTTATGGTGTTCTCATTTGAGTTTATGGCATTATTTGTCAAGAAAAAGAGGGAACACCTTCTAGCTGGCTTCAAGAGTTCCTTGTAGATTCCGGGCCGCGTGCTGCACTATAATGTTTGGTTTGCGTGTTCTCAGAAGCCTTGACTACTGATCGCCACCGTTTCCCGACAACGCTCAAAAAGGGTTGCAGGGCCCCTTTAAACGCACGGATATACCTGAGGCAGTGGACAGGAGGATGACCGTCGTTGTAGCTCAAGCGGTACAGCGATCGGACACATTATTTGAAGGTTTCAGGTTTGGTCTCCGCCAATAACAAATTGTCATTTTTGTCTGTGTCGTAATTATTGCGAATAACATCCTCTGCAATTCCCTTGGCTCTATTGTCAGTTCGTTCTCATGAAGGTTGTGTCTAACAAAGAAAAAAAAAACAAGAAAGACGAGCCTTTAACTCTCCTTCTGTCGTAAATCAAAGAATACAACATGCATACATAGTAATTATCTATGCAATGTAAGCATAGTAGACAGGAATAATAAAATAGACATGCCTATATCACGAGAGATATGTAGTTATTACAGAACTGGAAATTGAGCCGACACCCAAATGCCAATACAGCCACGGCATTTTATAAACTGTAGCTTATTACTCACACAACAAAAAAATACAGCTGCACCTTCTGAATACTAAATCAGCATAGGTCCAGACCTCATGTTAAATTTTTTGCATGACGCTCATCACATGATTATGTTCAGGTGCAAATAAGCTATTTTGTCAATGATGTATAACTGTCAAGCTCACCAGAGCTGTCATGGCAATAGAAAATTACCAGGTTATGTCAACACATGATGTAAGCTTTCCAAGTTGTGGTGGTCTTTCCTTGCTGCGAGAAACAACATTCTTGCTTCTAATTCAGTCTTTGGAATGCTTGGAATGCTAAAGCTGCTGCGTGTTTCGGAGCACTCCGGTACCCTTTTTTTTTTTTATCATTTAGAGCATGCAACAAGAGCGAAAACATTGCGAATAGTACGACGTGGAGCACTACGTAATAAATTGAAACAGCAATACTCTTTTTAATCACTTATTACACATATTACGATAAGATGCGTTTTGAGAGTAAAGTGCCATGATGAAAAAAAAAAAAAAAAAAACCACCACCACTCTACCTTTGGCAGGCCGCCATTCCATTTGCTGTTGTGGGCAGTGACAAGCAGCACACGGTGAACGGTCGCACGGTCTACGGCCGACAGACTCAGTGGGGGCTCGTCGAGGTGGAGAACAGACACCACTGCGAGTTTCCCGACCTCAGGGATATGCTTATTAGGTGAGTGGCGTATCGAGAAAGTCAATATCGGCTCGTCTTGTGCTCAGAAATTGGCTTTAAATTGAAGCAGTTACTCAACTTTGTCAAGTCCGGCTATAAAAACGCTTTATGGTGTGTATGCGTGCAGGCATACTCCTGTGCATGGGTTGGGAGAGGGCGGGAGGGGCGGCCATCCTTCCAAGCCACTTAAGAGGGGGGGGCACAGTCAACACCACAGGCGTAATAGGGAGGAAGGGAGGGCAGAAAGTCGGCCTCATGCATTGACATAATAGGGATGGGAGGGGCTGTCCCGTGATGAACCTTCGCCCCCACCTGAAGAGGAGCCTTGCGCATGCCTACGCGTGTTGGAAGTCAATTGCACTGCTTTGACTGTGTTTATTATGTCGGGCATCACAATGGTATCAGGCATCCAAATAATGTCACCCCCCCCCCCGGGTAAAGTGTTACAATCATCCCTGAGCTCGGTGTTCAGAAATGAGGTTTAACATGAAGCCACGACTTAAGAATAATTGTCGAGGTTTAATGTCCGAATACCACAACACGATTACGAGGGATATAATGGAGAATTCCCGTGATTCTGACCACCTGGTGCATCTAAATCCAAATAGTTAGGCCTCAGGCATTCTCGCCTTCATCAAAAATGTAGCCCCCGTGGCCAGGAATCGATATCGCTACCTTTAGGTCAGCACTTGAGCACCATAACCAGTATACAACCGTGGCGGGTTGAGCCACAGCTTGACTCGGTTAGTTACGCCTCAATTAACATCTGATGACATGGACATATCCGAGGTGCCAAGTTCATTTTTATTCCCCGAGTGTGTTCACTTAGAGCGTTGCGCTGATATCGGGCATATGTCATCGCTTCTAGCTAACACACATTTCTAAATGCAAAAAAGCGGTCCAGTAATTATCGCAACAGTATAGCCACTTAGGTCGCCTGTAAAAACATACCGCAAAATATTGAGACATGAACACAGGGAAGCGACTATGTCTGTTCTCTGTGCTACGTCTGTGTCCAAATATATTAGGTGTAAAGAAAAATGTGTCAAATCCTCCATTCCTTCGGAATGATTTGTTCTGCAGCCACAGTAATCTTTAGGTGGTTAAAGAAATTGTTTCAGACCATAATTAAGAAGCTTAAATTATTCAACCTTTCAAATTGATGAGTTTGGTCGTTATGTCAGACGAGTTCAGTCCCTATGTGGTCATTAAATCGACTATCTGCTCAGACCTATACTCATACATCATGTGCAGTGCTGTAGAACTAATGCAAGATGTTCTGTCAGTGAAATGTGGAAGTCCACACATCTCTCACTTCACTTTGCTTGTAGTAAACTTTCGTCCCAGCTGAGCATGAGCCTGCATTTGGGGATGATAATGGGCTGCAAAAGAAACACACACAAAAAAAAGAGATGCTAAGCGGCCCAGAATACTAATTAACTACTACTGTACAGCGGGGCTTGATTATTTATAAGGCACAAAGCATTTTATTTAGTTAGTATGACTTAAAACTGAAAACGTGGCTGATCCCCCTATCTGACAATCGGTATGACACGAAAGTGAAATGCGTCTTCACAGAGGTAGTTGAGCGTGCATTGTGCATTTTTTCAGCAACAGAAACAAACTGAAAAGTCACGGGAAGAACGGCAAGCAGCTCAAAATTTGCAGCACACACTTCAAGCAGAAAGCATGCACAAAATAGCGTACACAGGACGAACACGAACTAACACACGCAGGAGAGACCACGCTCCATGGAGGTGGCGCTTCGTGGACGCGACGACCTTTAAAGCGCGCCCAACGCGAGCCCGTCGTGCGATCATGCTACTGACAACGAAAATGCGCCAAAGTTTCGACGCTCTGAGAATTGCCAAACGGTGTGTGGTGTATATAAATGGCCTGCAGTTAGCATCCTGAACTACGTTTGCTCTGTGGTGTAGCGGTTAGCGCCGCGCGGTGTGAATCAAGAGGTTGCTGGTTTGATGCCGTGCGACAAACTCTTTCGTTCTCATTTTTTTCTTTGCAATCTGTTATTGTGTATATTACAATGTCATATCCGCAACGGAAATATGTCAATGAAGTCGTGATGAACCCCTGGTACAACGTGTTGAAGGGGCCCTGCAGCACTTTTTGAGCATGGTAAAAAAACGCTGCCGATCGGTGGTAGAGGCTTCCGAGAACACGCGAGCCAAATGTTATTGCGCATCAGGAGGCCTCGAATTCGCAATAAATGATCAAAGTCGGCTAAAAATTGCTTTCTCTTCCCTCGACAAATCACGAATTATGCCCAAAAATCAAACGTACATGACCCATTGTTGAATAAAACAGGTCACTGACCAATGTCAAACAAAACAATGACGTTTCAGGACCCGTACGGATCCCTTGTTCACAATGGAATGACGGCTGAGCAACAGGTTCTTATGTAACGTTGAGCGCATGACGCAAAGTCCGGGAGTACACGTGGTTTAGTGTGCCAGATGATCTATTGATTGTGTTACTTGTCGTCTGAATGATTAGTGATTCGAGGTTCAGTCTGGTTGTAAAATTCTTCTCCGTGGCCATGATGCGTGCGTTGTCCCAGCTTATTTCGTGGCCCGTCTTCTCAGCATGCTCTGCGAGTGCATTTGTCACTGTGTGGCCCTTGGCGACGTCATTCTTGTGTTGCATCAGACGTCTGCAGTAATTTCCACTCGTGCCAATGTACACTGATTCGCAATCGGCGCATAGTATCTTGTAGACCACACGAGGAAAGTGTTGCCGAGGGAGAGGATCCTTCACATTTAGCAACTCAGCCTTAAGCTTGCTTGCTGGAACATGCGCGATCTGTACACCACGTTTTCTGAATAGGCGGGCTAGGGCTTTGCTTACATTTCGAATATAAGGAATCGATGCACGCTTTTGCGTAGACGATGTGTTATGCATGGCTTGACTAGTTGACTGCAGTTTATGCATGACGGATTTAGTTGTTTTCCTAATAAAAATCTTGGGGTATCCATTCCTGATCAGGTCATCTTCAATGGTCCGGAGCTCCTCCTGCAGGCTTCCTTCATCGGAACAAGTGCGAATCGCTCGTTGAACTAAAGACCGAATCACTGAGCGTTTGTGGGCTACCGGGTGGACTGACTCATAGTCGAGGTATCTACCGGAGTGTGTTGGCTTTCGGTACACAGCGAAGGCGAGGATGCAGTTGTAAAACGTACTCCCACAGGCCTCGCCTTCACTGTGTACCGAAAGCCAACACACTCCGGTGGATACCTCGACTATGAGTCAGTACACCCGGTAGCCCACAAACGCTCAGTGATTCGGTCTTTAGTTCAACGAGCGATTCGCACTTGTTCCGATGAAGGAAGCCTGCAGGAGGAGCTCCGGACCATTGAAGATGACCTGATCAGGAATGGATACCCCAAGATTTTTATTAGGAAAACAACTAAATCCGTTATGCATAAACTGCAGTCAACTAGTCAAGCCGTGCATAACACATAGTCTACGCAAAAGCGTGCATCGATTCCTTATATTCGAAATGTAAGCGAAGCCCTAGCCCGTCTATTCAGAAAACGTGGTGTACAGATCGCGCATGTTCCAGCAAGTAAGCTTAAGGCTGAGTTGCTAAATGTGAAGGATCCTCTCCCTCGGCAACACTTTCCTGGTGTGGTCTACAAGATACCATGCGCCGATTGCGAATCAGTGTACATTGGCACGAGTGGAAATTACTGCAGACGTCTGATGCAACACAAGAATGACGTCGCCAAGGGCCACACAGTGACAAATGCACTCGCAGAGCATGCCGAGAAGACGGGCCACGAGATAAGCTGGGACAACGCACGCATCATGGCCACGGAGAAGAATTTTACAACCAGACTGAACCTCGAATCACTAATCATTCAGACGACAAGTAACACAATCAATAGATCATCTGGCACACTAAACCACGTGTACTCCCGGACTTTGCGTCATGCGCTCAACGTTACATAAGAACCTGTTGCTCAGCCGTCATTCCATTGTGAACAAGGGATCCGTACGGGTCCCGAAACGTCATTGTTTTGTTTGACATTGGTCAGTGACCTGTTTTATTCAACAATGCCTTTACCTGACCAGACGGCATTCCGTCGAACTCTCGACTACATGACCCATCTATCAGCCATTAGCTGATTTGAACATGGCGAGCTCGGTTGTTACAGAAACCGCCACGAGAGGCCGTCACTTGTCTACGCGTGCGATCACACTGAAAAATCCGCATATCCAATGAAAAAAAAAAAAAAAGCAAAATGTGCTCAAGGTCACGAGGCGAGCGTTACGCTTTTTTTTTTTGCTCCTCCCATCCCTCCCTGCTTAGATTCCAGCGCTTTCGTCGGGACAAGAGAAGAGAGGAAGGATGCGATTGCAGCATATGCCAAATCTTTGGAACTCCGCTCGTACTGGACGGATTCTTAAAATTTTTGCGGCGTTGAGTTTGTGAGGCAATACGATTTTTCAGTTAATTAATTTCATGGTTACTCAAAAAAGTGTTTCAGGGCCCCTTTAAAAAAGAAAGGTGCACTACAGGTGGCAAGATCACTGAACTATTTCTTGGCAGGAAGACATTCACTGTAAGTAATGTTGCTGGCCTTTGTAGCATGGCACCTGATGTATGAAATCGGTGCACAATAGGTGGTTCACAGACTGGGAGGTAAATAAACTGCCCTCAGTTTCGACATCATTGAGCAGCTTGCTAAATCTGTTCTTCATGCATTCGTCTCTTCGCAAGCCACTGTGAGATTTTGATAAGTCGTTTGGTTTCTTTCTGGAAGGACTCACATGCAAGATCTCGTCGAAGTGACCAAGACGGTTCACTACGAGAACTTCCGCCACGAGAGGCTACAGGCGCGCCACGGCCACATCAACGGACATGGCATCAACATTGTGAACCTGAACGAGAGTAGCCTCTGAGACGTGCACAAATGATCGTCAATTTTTTTGTCTTCCGCCTATATATTTTACTTGCCCCTGACCTCCTAGCATGCGCTGAGTTTGTTTGCTTGTAGAAACGTGAAGATCACTATCGTGTCTTAATATTTTGAGGTTGATTCTGTCAACACAAAATTTTGTAAAATGTGAAGCCCGCATTCTGTGCTAAATGCTTTGCTTACAATTCAGTGGTATATTATAAGGTGTCACACAAAGGCGCAATATGGCATTTTATGCATGACAAAACTGTTTGCTAAGCTGTTGAGTATGTCATGAGCACGCATTTGGACGAGATGAAGCAATAACAAAAAGCAAACAGATATGTCTACAAGCAAAGAAAAAAAAATCGCGAACTCGACTATGTAATGCAAAAAAATAAGGGTACTGTTTTGAGAGTTATTTTATTAATATCACACATATCACATTTCAGCGTTCCACTAGATATGAGTCGGGAGAAATTCCTGCCTTTTCGTAGGGTCACAGCAATTGTGTCATTTTATGTGAAAGTGTGCAGAGACATCGTCATGAATGTCGTGCGTGTAGTAATTATGCTAGATAGGTGAAACTATAAGAACCGACGTTCGCTCTAATTGTGAAGCATCCCATTTATTCTTTGAGTCTTAAACAAGAAAGCAATGCTCACAGCAACGCTCGTGTAGAGCCCAACCTGAAAACTTCGCAAGATCTCAAAAGAAACGAGCAATTCTTCTGGAATCGCCGTACATACGTATGACATTTGAAAAAGAGTGTCGAAACGAAGCTCGTTTGCTAATTCTACGATCGTAGTTTCATGTATTACCTGCATCGCCACGTCACATAGCCAATCCCTTTGCCACATCCCCAAGCGGAACAACATGTTACAACCTTTTCATGCGCCGTGGCAAGAATCAGCTGGAGGAGCTGTTTGGCAACGAATGCGTCTTCCGCTGTGCCAAGAAGACAGCACTTACTTAACTTTCCCACGCGTTGGGTAAAAAGTGACCAAAAGTGCTTACTGATGTTCAATGGTGAAAACAACTGTTGTTCTTCCAGTGAGAAACATGAGAATATGCTCAGCTGCTGTAATGAATAACACAGGCTGTGACAGCTTATGAAGTGGCAGTCCGTGCCCAAGTGAGACGTGGGTCTTCTAGTCATGGCTTAAATATTGCAAGATGAACAGATGGAGTCGCCGTATGTCATCGTTCAGCAACTGCCCATTTTAATAATCGCAAGAACTTTACGTGAAGTCCGGGTGGAACCAGTGCCGGCTTGATGCTAGCTGCCAGACCTTTGCGATAAAAGTCGCGATAAAACTGACGTGGTGAGGATAGAAGTACTGAGCTTGCAGACCGAGCGTGGCAAGTGCTTTAGTGAAAGAAATAAGTAGTTAAAAAAAAGAACACTGTGTACAATGTGTTGTGCAAATTGTGTGTGTCCAGCAAATTTCTCCGTTATGTGGCATCCTTGTAAAATGTCTCTTGTCCCTTGCAGCCACCCATGCAGCCGTTTATACTGTCAATACTGCTTTCTTTCCTTCTTACGAGACGATGTATAAAGATCATTTTAGTTTTTAGCCTAAACATTACTGGGCCTAGGCAGAAACTACGGGGAGGGGTGGGCTTTATTTGGACAGCTTCATGGGGGGCAGAGCACCCCCTGATGCCGGTTGGGGAAATTTTTTTTAGAGCTTGTCTTCGGTTCTCGTTTATTGACAACAGACTGTTGGCCGTCCTCTCTGGCAGTTATTTCAGAGGGGGCTATTTACGTCAGCACCTTTTTTCTTTCAGGCTTTCAAAATTTGGATCATGGGCCAGTGACAAGTCAAACTTTCAATGGAAAACGCCCCTCAAACGTATATGAGGGTGCGTGGTATGTTGTGTTGATGAACTTCAGCGACTGCTCAAGCTATGACTAGTTAAAAGAGTTGCAATTGGTTTTCACAAAACAAAAATGCTTCTGAAAATACATACACATTATGCCCGACACAGTTAATGAATGATTACACAGAAATTTTCTCGCCAATACAGAAAGTGTAATTTTTTGTTGTCTGCAAATTCCCTTTGACATGCTTGCTATGAAAGTGCCCAGAAAAAATCGTACATATTTTTTTTCATAAGCAAAGTGTTTACTACCAGTTGGCCCTTTGAAGAGCAACTCGTTTACTAATCCACAACTATTGGCAAAAAAAATTGGGACCCCAGCTTAGCACAAGGTTTAGTGGTAACAAGTGGCATTTACTAACATAAAGTGAAATAAAGTGTGGAATTGGGCTAGTTGGTAATCTATTAATAAACTTCTCAGCGCAAAAACTTCCGTCATCTAACACAAGAGACGAGGACGAGCGCAGACTTTCAACTAATTTATTACTACTAACACGCACATATACATGTTACAAAATAGACGATAAGATCACTTGCTTAGGCAGAAACCAAAAAACACAAGAACAAAAAACACAAAACCAAAACGCAAGAAACCACGTGCTCACCCCGGACCCTCACGTGCCAAATTTAAAAACGAAAAAAAATTGGCATATTTAATTAAATTCGGCACGTGAGGCTCCGGGGTCAGCACGTGGTTTCTTGCAGTCTCTTTTGACTTTTTGGTTTTGTGTTTTTCGGTTTCTGCCTAAGCAAGTGATCTTATAGTCTTTTTTGTAGCATGTATATGTGCGTCCTCGCAGTAATAAATTAGTTGAAAGTCTGCGCTTGTGCTCGTCTCTTGTGTTAGTTGTCGGAAGTTTTTGCGCTGAGAAGTTTAATAAGGCATTTACTAACAACTGAAGCCCATTTTTGCAACTTTTAAGTTGAATTTACTGGCATAGCTAAATCTACCTGTGTTAGCAATAGCCCACTCTGTCCAGTCTTGTTCATGTTGTAACAAAGTAAGCAAAGCATGACAATAAAAAAGTTAGGCATATCCCACTCATTGCGCGATTAGATTTGATGCCAAGGAGCCAGTGAGTAGTGGTCTAAGTGACATTTTTTGCTTTTAGCTATGGTTTGCGAAGTGGATCGGAATAATTGTGCTAGTTAAAAAAATAAACCTAGACTCTCTCACTTAAGATCTTCATAATGATATTACGGTATTGGCACCTAAGAGACAAGTTCTATTAATTCTTTTGATTTGGAAACTGGATTTTCTCTCTTTCACAACACACATAAAGAAGTGTAAATTCAAGGGCCTTTTTTTTTACAGACAATGATGCCAACGAAAGTATAGATGATATTAGCGATAAATGTAATGTAAACGTGAGAAAAACAAAAGTGGACAAAGAGATAAACTGCCATCAGCAATTCCGAGTAATGCATCCAATGCTCTACCAACTGAGCTACAGAGGCGGTCATCCCTCTGTTCACATTACGAGATTTATATGGGCGCTTAAACGTGGAAGTGTCGGCCAACTCCGCAAGTAACCATTACGGCGAGTATGGAACACCTTTTTTTTTGCCTGTTGGCGTCACACTTCTCTATCAGAGAGAAGTGTATGACGCCAACAGGCACACCTCTCTCTATTAGAAAGAAATTCCACATTTCACATGTAACGTTCCAAATTCCACATGTGACGTTCCAAAAGAGGACTTAGTACACAAAACATTATAGACCTTTTTTTTTAGTTGCTTGAGGAAACGGTAGAAATATTGCACTACAGTTGGCACACAAATATGGTGTGTTATACTCCGCTGGTAACAGCTGCTTCTTAATTGAGGCAGTGCCTGATAGAGGTCGGTACTCTCGCAGTGAGTAGTACTCCCTATCAGCTACCTAGAAACTCCTATTAAGTAAAGTTACTACACAGGCTACCTAAAAGGAGGCCTAATATAACTCTTATGAAAAGGAGTTATGGTGTAGGTTCTCTGAAGGGTGCATACACTAACAAAAGGCACAGAGGTGGTACGGCAAGTTTGTATGTTGTTAGCTGTACTATGCTATATCTTATGTTCAGATAAAAGGTGCTTTAATTTATTTCACTATTCCTTATTTATTCTTATTTTCAAAAGCTCTGTCCTCAGTATCAACGGCACGTTTATTATTTTTACAGGACAATAACTTGTGCAGCATGATCCAGTTTATGCCTTTACTGTTCCCTGAACTACGTGAACTTCTTCCAAAATAATGAAAGCATCGTTCATGGAGCGATGCAATAAGAAAAGGTATGATGCCACACACAGTGATCACTTAGAACAGTTGTAGAACAGTTGTGTTATCTAAAGACTCTCGGATGACGTTGCAGAAACACAGCTATATTTTTGACTAGGAAGAGTTTGTGAAGGCAAAGATGATTTATTTTTATGCAGCATGTGCATATGTGTGTGAGTGCTGAAAAAAAATGTCCAAATAAAGTAATATGCAAAGTAACTTGCCAGGTTGTTTTTACTACAATACTTGCTGCTCTTCTGGCTCACTAACAACACACTTTTTTTAGCAGTCCATGACAATTACTGTTACTGATAATGTCAGAATTGATTGATATGTGAGGCTTAACGTGCCAAGATAACGTCAGAAGGCCAGCCACTAACGTCGGGTTCGATTGGTGCGTCTAGCGGTGCCATTTAAATGGGGATGCTCAATTTCAGATTCCGAAGACAGCGATAAGTGACGGCTGCTGACGAGACGGTGGGTAGCAGCATGTCAACTGCTCCGATGAGCTGCTAGTGAGCGCATCGTCTATTGCTCTCGGTCGAAAATTGAAGCCAACTTTACGATGCCACCATTATAGAGTACTTGGGAGGAGGAGTCACCTTATTTGTTCTGAAATTTGTCGTCCTGTGAGCCTACTTGCAGGCACAACTGTCTTGCGCGCATGCTATAGAGCTGTTACTCTGAGCTAAAGAGTAGCATGTAGTGTTACAAGTTTCACACTGTCCCAAAGGTAATAACGCAATGCAATGTGAAAAGAGATGCTGAAGAAACGAGCTCCCGTCATTTCTTTGCCTTGCATCATTATCGTTCACCCACTGCACAAAAGTCTTCTTCATTCAAATGGCTCAAGTTTACACGTTGCAGCACATCCGTAAGCAGCACATTTCCAGTACAGTGACAAGAAGAAGTGCGATATTAAGTTGGCAACTGGTGCTAAAGCCATGCTTCGGCTACACTGTTTGGTTTCAGTGATCAGCAACCACCATTGCTCTTGGAATCTCGACACAATGCGCAGTGACTGCACTTCGTGCGTACTTGGTTGATTGCAGCAGACAGAAACTTGCACGGCAGATCATTTATAAGTACCGTCTTTGTTTAAAGATGATTCAGGGAATGCTTGAATTTTCGACCAGATGCGTGATATATTACTGGAAGTTCTATGTCTTTCATCATTCGTGTTCTTGAACCTTCGAAGGGTGATAGACTAATTGTACATGGTGCAGGCCGCACAACGAGGTTAGCATTTCGAAAGATAACTACAGTCATCCCCTTTATAAAATACATTGACGTTAGAGACAAATGGGTATTAGTTGCACTAGTGTGCCTACATTGAAAAATAGGTGTTAATACGCAAACCCTAAAGTGGCACCCTGCTTATGTTAAAAAGAGACTAGAATTGCTCCCTGTTGCATCTTGCCCTCAATGGGTTTCAACTGTACTGCGAGCATAAGTTTTTTGTGTATGCCATACGAACTGAACACGAGTGTTAACATTGACAGCAACAAAGCAGGTTACGACAAATTCTTTCATATTAAGTGAACTACATCAGTCTATGCCGGATTAGGTTAAATGCAGCAGTACCCCCAATGCTTGGCACACGAGGAGCCCATTTTCAATGCAGTGTAGATTCCAAGAGCATTAATCTTGGCGATGAAACAAGTGGATATTCAATGCTAGAGGCAACAGAATAGTCACAAGGCAGTGCATTGTGAATCTCATCATTATGTGAAAGTCCGTAAGTTAGGCCACCTCAGATGGTGCACCAAGACTCAGCAGCGTAAACGAGAACTTTTATATTCCACGTCTAGTAAAGACAGCCTAATGAAAACAGATACAAAACCAAGAAATATATAGCGGATGTTGGTATAGGAACAACTGTGTGGTATAGCAATTATGGCACGAATGGGAAGCAATTAAAGTGGACGAAAAATTATCTAGCCGAAGGTAGGGGCTGGCAGCAAGAAAAGTGTATTCCACGCTCTCCGTCATGGCTATGAAGGGTGCTGGCTTACCTCCAAGATTTTTATGTACTGAGTTTACGTAAATCTCCCACATTTACATAAACATAAATGCTCAATAATGTAGATTGGAAAGCAGCAGCTATTGTAGTTAAATTAGTAGTGTGTTAAACACGTTATTGGAAGGTTGTAGGGTTTAGTTCCTACTAGTCACAAGTTGAACCTAATTCTATATACTGCAGTTGAAAGCTACAGGTGATATGCTCTTACGTTCATTGTCCTTCATACGCCCAGTGTAGGGAAGAGAGTAGCTTTTTTGCTTGGGGAAACAAACCTACAACCTTGTGTACATTATAATGCTATGAACACCCACTCACCGTAGCTTGGCTTAAGAGAATCAGTTCACATTGCATGGGCTGCTGATTCGATGGAGAGAAAACTAGCACTAGCCAAGATAGAAGAATAAAGAGTCAGCCCAATCGTGGGATGGTTAATCCAGAGACTGTAGAAAAAAAAAGTATATACAAGTAAACAACTCACAGTAAATCGCAGTAAATAGGTCTCACTGGTTGCTTTAGTTTCATAGCTCCACTTGGAATATATCGCGTTGTGATGGTACGCTGATGCCACCGAATTTATGTGCAAATTTATGCAAGAAGGAAAAAAAAAGAATTTACCAAGGTCCTTCATATGTTCACGTAAGACAGCCTGAAGGCGAAAACTATTTAGCCAGGCAATTTCACGATGCACTTCGTACGATGCCATAAGTCATGCAAACGCCGCAAAAATTAAGCTCGCATGCCTCAAACTACGAGGCTCGCAGGTGGTCAATGCGGTTAAGCAGAGACTAAGTGAACGCGCATCTTGCGGGTGTGTTTTTCAGCCAGAGTTGCTTTGAGATGTCAAACCCCATAGAACAACCAACACACAACTTGCACCCCTTGTGGGTCAAAGTGTCCAGTGGTTACATGAACTCGTTGCAAAACACGAATTCCTGGTTCAGTTTACATTCGCATGAGACATACACGCAAACCAGAACATTTACATAAGGAAATGTCAGTTAAACAAAATAATTGAAAAATATTCTGCAAATCAATCTTTTACAATGTGTCTTTTGATATAAGAAACTTAATTTCTATTAAGATACAACTTTGTCATAACGGGGTTTGAGTGTACATGGCTCTTGCCTAACGAGAACTTGCAGCTCGAAAGGGCATGCAAGTTCAGTTTTCAGGTGCAATGGGAAAATGAATGAGAAAGCCATGATGAGTCAACAAAGAATAAATTTATTTAAAAGGTGTTGCCTTGTTTTGTTTTTCAGGTGTTTTTGTTCTGGTGACATGCCTTTTTTTTTCATTTCTTCTTTCAAAAAGATGAGAGGATAGGGGTAACATGGGGACAAGGTCCATCGGAAAAATAAAACATGGGAACACCAAAAAAATAAAGACGAGAGCTGCCCAACTCGGGCTCTCGCGCAATAAACATTCCTCTGGTCAAGACGAATGACCTCTACAAGAAACGTCCCAAGAGCGATTTTATTGCGGCGAAAAAAAAAAAAAAAAAAAACATGGAAGTGACGAAAGCTCTAAGAATAAGTGGAGCACCGACCACATGGGAGAAAAAAAGAAAGAAAAAGAAACAGTCGTGTTGTGACGATGTTATGTGTGCTGTGCGGTACAACATTTCAGCAACAGCAAAGCGAGTAGACTCGCTAGAATTTGAAGGAAAAAAAAACAAAACACTTATACAGTTGCTTCGATTGATTTGCTAAGAACACAATAAACACATTAAGATGATGAAGAATAGGAAAAAGAAAATTGAATCGGAGACCTCACTTACTTAACAACGCCTGTCGAAGGCATAAAAAGTCATGACAAATTACCGTAATATTCAAACTACACACCGACCGTGACACACCTATAAGGGACCAGTCACGAGCGGCCATCTTGCACTGATAAGGATGGCATGACAACCATTTGTTTGTGAACCATGAAAGAACACGGATGCTCTAATTAAACGTGTCTTTTCCTTAGTAACAACACGCATTCTTTCATTTTCTTTTTGTGCAATTTTGCCCGAGGAACGATTCTTTGGTGCCATCATGACCAGTAGCATCCCCACCCTTATAGAAGCATTAAGATCTGTTAATTAACAAACTATCTACAAAAAAGACTAATTCATCATGCAAAAAAAGGCGAGCCTTACTTAAAGCAACCTAAAGACGCTTCCAATGGCTTTTGTTAACCAGCTGGCGCTGGGCGCGAAAGCGAGCACCCGACGACTGCTCTCGGCAAAGTGTACGTTGTCAAAGCTAACTTTTCGTGGTGGTGACGTGAAAGTGTACGCTCTATTCTTCGCCTGTTGTTAGGAGCCGGGGAAAAAAAAACGCAAAGGAAACGTCGCAACAAACGAGCTGCTCTCTTAGACTAAGTCGGCTACGTTTGCAAACGCCCACCAGAAAACGCGCGTCCGCAAGTGATGAAGCCTGAGGTTCAGCTCGTTTTTGGGAAGCGAGCGACTGTGCGTCTATTTGACCTTTATATGTACAAACAATTTGCTTAAATGTTCCTACAATGTCCTATCACCATGTGGACTGCAACAGCCAAAGTTTTGAATGGGAGAGAAAGGGGGAAGAAAAGGAAAAGTTGCCCGGCACTAAGTTACTACGTGACGATGGAGAGTGACAAGAGAAGTGGGAAGGGCAATGAACAGTCACACAGACGGGAAATACGAAGAGCGAGGTTTATAGATACATTCCTCTTGCTTTCTGTACTATGCAACAAACACTGCACGCTCCATGTACGACTTCGTTCTCTCATCTCAATCCACTCTTTTCTCTTAAAAATAGACCAACTGGCATGCAACAACGGTCTCTCTGGCTTCAAGTCTTATGTACACACCACGTCAACCAACAGCTTTCGCCAAGCAAACCAACAAATACTATATAAAAAAAAAAGGAGAAAACAAAAACGTCCCAGATAAACCGAATGGGACAAAGCGCTTGACGATCCCCTTCATGTCATTAATATTCCCAACAGCTTTTTTCCCCAAGGGGCTTAACAAATTGCAATAGTAGAAAAAATAAAAAAATTACTGGCCTCCCTCACCAAACAACAGTGGGAGAGAAGTAACAACATATATCTAACCATTGCCAGTCACTAGTAGTTAGGCCTCAATTAAGGGAATAAGTGACATGATCATGTATAAGGCGGAGGGGCCTTCCTTCCAGCCGAATTTCAAGCAATGTCCCTCAAAGAGGGAGGGTTAGGGGTGGGTGATAGAATGGACCAGAACTTTCTCGTTTCGGAAACACTCGTATCACCACCGCATCTCGGTATTCACATCATGTCTCCACCAAAGCCAGTGCGAGCAACTGCTTTCCAAGCGACACTGAGATCGGAAATCCGCAGAAAAGCCAGTCTCAGTCTTGGGCTGTGATATGTGCACATGCACCCGGTCCAACATCGCTTGCCCCCTTTTGTCTCTGCCCCTCCCCCCCACCTAACCCCACCCCGCACCCTCCCGATATCAACAGCATGAAACGGTGGCTCTCCCAAAGCAGTGCGGGATTCGCGACTTGAAAAGGCAGCGAACGCATGACTAGCAAGGCCTGTGTGTGTGTGAGCTCCAAAGAACTTTCACGAAAAAGAATATATACGTACCATGTTATGAAATCACCCCCACAAGGAAGAACAGCTACACTAATTCTAATGTAAGATGAAAAAAGCGCATTGCTGCCTTTCGTCGCACCTCCTCCTCCCCTCCATGTAGAAATACCGTTCAGCACAAAAAAAAAAAAAAAAAAAGCCATCATCGGCAACCGGTCTCTTCTCTGCCCCACCAAACACGTCTCCACAACCATCGAGACACAATCCCTTCCATCAAAAACACACGCTGCACTCTCTCCTACACCCTTCCTATCCAGAAAGGCTACGACGATGATCCTTCCACACTCTGGAAGCGAAATGAGGGGCCTCCCTTGCAAGAATGGCACAAGCTATCTTTCATCTCCTAAACTGTCAATCACACCATCCCCTCGCTTCGTCTCCGCCAAAAAAAAAAATTGGCCTCTTACTCTTGTACACTGTACACTCGCGCTGCCAAGCTCTTTACCGCTGTCAGGTCTCTTCTAAAGCTCTGTCTGTACACAATACAACGCACGCTGTCGTTTGCCTCCATGCTACTTTTCTCAACTCTGTGACAACTTGCCATGCCCAGACCATGGCCCATTGCCGTTATGCGTGCCATTGAAGCGTAAAATACACCCTGCGGGCTCATATCTATATCCTCCCCTACAAACTCTACCCGCCTTGTCAATGTACACTATCCCAAAGAAAACTGAAAGAATAAACGCAAAAAGAGCCGCAGCTCCTGCGATGGCAATCATTCATCGCCGGTGAAAGCGACAAACGAGTTTGTACAATTTTCACAGCTGCACGCGCGCCCCCAGAAAACATGCTAAGGGTCGCTGGCCTCTCAGTTACGGGGGGAGCGAGCCAGCCGTTCATCAAGACTCGGCCAGTCGTTCATCACGGTCGAGCCAGCCATTCATCATGACTGAGCCAATCATCACGAGCTAGCCATTTGTCACGCCACTGCCTGTCCTGCCGCTGGGCATCCAGACGGTATGTCCCAAATTCTGCTGACGGCCAGCTCGTTCCTACTGCTCGGCGCAGAAAAAAAAGTGACACTGAGCGCGCATCAGGCACAAGTAAAGTACGGCAGCAGCACAATGTGGCAGCCAATGCGTGCAGGGAAGGAAGTAAGGAAAGCGCTTGTTATCGTTTGTCTCAAGAATAATGACGCAAATGCGAACACAGGTGGGTGAGAATAGCTAGCCTATCACGAGAAAGCATTGTCATGCCGTGCCAGCAAACGGTGGAACGCAATGGGCAGTAAGACGCAAGAGGCGAATGACAATGATCAATACCAGTGTCACAGGGGCGATTTCGATCGCAATCAACGTTGGTCGCTGCTACGCTGTCCGAAAGCAACAGTGAAACCGCAATGTCAGAGCCAGACTGCGATAATCACGACCACCATTGGCTCCGATTAAGTGTGATTATGCAGCAACGCGTGATCAGGATCCAGTCTGAACCCGATTGGCCTCGATTGCGACAAAATGTGCCCATGTGACAGCAGTACGAGGCACTGGAAACTATGACAACCTGCACAAATGCTGCACCCTTGCCTGTCGCTTGAACGGACTGTCTGTCCGCAGCAAACCAGTAAAGTGTTCCTCGGGGACCCCGCGGATAACCCACCGCTGAATGCATCAATGCGGAATCAAGACAAGCAACAAAAAGAAAAGATTAAGCTTGTGAATGACAGCATGGAAAGAGCAGGTGAGTGTGTAATGCAGGTTGATGACGGACAAGCGTCGGGAAAATGCTACTGAACAAGCAAGAGGGCGAAGATAAAAGTGTGAAAGGGTGAGGTGGGGGACTCTGCCTACGTATGCTTTCGTTGCTGCACCAACGGCTCGCAGAGCAGGTCACACCCTCGTCATTGCGGGTGGGTACTGCTGAACAGTTGCAATAGTAAATGGCGATAGGATGTTGGATGAAAAAGAAAAAAAAAAAAAAAACGGTGAGACATGTTTTGATAAAAAAAAAACTGTGATCTAGTAAAAAAGAAAAAGGTTGCAGGAAAACTGCTTTAAAACAGAAACACAAAGAGTTAATGGCGACGCCTATGAGGGAAGTGACTAATGTCTGGCTTTGCCACAGCAGTCATTTAGCGCGTCGCGCTCAAACTTGGGAGGCCTGCAAGGGTAGAAACACAGAGAGGCGAAATGGTAGCAAAATGCAGCTCTACGAAATGACTGTTTTTTAGCAGTTTTCCAAGGAGCTGGGAGCTACACTTCATTTCCAATGACTGCAAAAGCGCATAGCTAGGAAAGATAAGACAAGGATTGACAGCAGCAGCAGCAGCATCCAGGAAGACGGGGGAGAGGGCAGATTAAGAATAAGGGGATGGTGGTAACACAGCAAAAATAATAATAATAATAATTAAAAAAACAATTCGACGAGTGATGCCACCATTAACATAAAGAGGAGGAGGCAGAGTCTGTGGCAGATGCCGTCACACCCGTCGGAGACGACGACGTGGTGGAGACAGGCGGAGACACCGACTCGTCGGATCCACTCCGGTGGACTTTAGACGGCGGGGGCCGTGCGGGTGAGTTGGTTTCTCGGTCCCGACCGGCTGTACTGCCTGCGGAGGTGGAGGTGGGTGTCGACGTAGCCGGCGTTGCGGACGACGAAGAGGTGGCCATTTCATAGTGGCGCTTGCGTGGATGCGTCGGAAGGGGCGCGGCCGCCGCGGGCGGCGACGAGGAGGAGTCCGGAGTGGGCGGCTGGGCGAAGGTGGACGATGGAGCCTGCACGATGACGCTCGTCGGGTGGAGAGGAGGTGGAGAAGAGGAGGCAGAGGAGGAAGGCATCTGCTCTGCAGTGGACAGCCCCAGCGGCTTCGGCTGGTAGAAAAGCTCGGGTGGGCCCCGGGGATAACTGCGCTCTGTGACGACACAAGAGAAAATAGAGGGGAGGGAGTTAAGCGAAAAGAGGGGATTTGGAAATGGCAAAATAACAAAAAAAAAACATCAAACACTCAAATGTCTCCGCCAAAGAACTACTACGTCATGTTAGCTTCGGTTGTTTTATATCTCCTCACTTTATTTACAGCACCTATACAGCTCGACCCACATATCTACAATGAATTGTACACCAGTTGAACCCTTTTATATGAGACACTGATATAAAAGATAATTTGTTACGAGAGACGCCCCAGTGCCTACAGATGCATGCGTAATGCGCTCAGAACCTTGCTTATACGACGCAGTTCTACATCAGTCCCGCATCTCGCGACTTTCAGATATCGCCCAAAAGAAAAAAAAAACGCCTTTACTCGAATCAAACGTCGTCCAAATATTCAAAGGCGCAAAATATGAACGTGCCTTCCTCCAAGGTTGACGATTAATAAAATAGAGAGACAAGATGTCCCTCTTAGAATGGAAAATTTATTCTCCTGGAAGTTCATGCGCTTCTACATATGCCTCGATCGCGTGTGTAGGTGCCCGGGGTCCTTACCTAGTCAAGCTCTATCCACACAAAGTAGCTTCAGTCGGCTAAAAAGCTGATATTTCAACGTTTTCAGTCCGTGGGAACTTTCCTTATTGACATACAGCTGACCTCCCGCTTTTGTCGCACTCACAGTCACAGGTTTGCGTACGCATAAGGACCTGATTCGGCTGTTTTCAGCGTGCGAAATTACTTTCACTTTAGGTCAACGTACATAATAACGGTGGGACATCACTAGTTACACTTCAAAAGCCAACAAATCACAATGCGCACAGCTCAGTCGTGCATGAAGGCATTCCATGCAACCTTGTGGTCCGTCGTATACGATAGTGATAACAATGCGTCTGACTCTGCTGATGGTAGGCTGTTGGCAGCGTGGTTTCTGTTTCGTTTTCACTCGCAGGCAATTTTTGAACTCTGTTTATTGGTTAAAATATGCGCGTTTGATTAGATTTTTATTTTTAGAGTCGGGAATAAAGACTCGCTCACACCTCCTCCAACTAAGCCATGCTGCCATTAGCTGCCACTGGCACGAATAATTTAATCTACCTTCCTTGCAGAGGCACAAGGTCACACCGTGGGCTTGTAGCGCCACGCTAGATTTGGCCAGGTGGCCGCGCCAAAAAAGAAGCGGGCCCACGAGGAATTGGAGAACGGCCGAGCTCCTGACCTGGCTGCAGTGGCGACTTTGCCTACGCCTGTGTACCGAATAAAAGCTGTGACCTTGGCACGGGCTTGTAGCCGACGTCTCGCCTCTCCTTCCTCGACATATGGTGATCCCGGACCAAAAGACAAGCGACCGGCGCTGCACCCCTGCCTCTGAGCTTTGCGGCCATGTTCCGGCCAGCTCAAGCCTTGCAGCCGCACTTTGACCCACCTCTACCACCGTTCCACACCGACATGGAGTCATGGTTCCCACCGACATGGAGTCATGGTTCCAAGAGTACGAGGCAGCCTTGGAGCTCAACAGCATCTGGCTCCAAGAATTCATGTTTGAGGTTCCGGAGTACGTTCTTGCACTTGACCTCAAACCACGTCTTACCTATTTCTCTTGGAGCCCCCGCCCATATGACAGACTACGGGATGCTGTTTTACGGTTTTGCGGCGCTGAACACCACCTCCGACAAGGGACCGACCACACGAAAGGTGCTTTCTCATCTACGCTGATCAAGCCTTCCTTGCGGTTTTCCTCGACCGTATCTCGTCCAGCGCTATGCCACAACAAGGTAAGCGACTATCCTACGACACCCACTCCGTTTACATATTGCAGCGTACGCCGCCCGAAGATCGGCCTTCGGCCTTAGGTTGACCGGTCGGTGCCTGTGGACACGTTGGTGAACAAAACGACTTCAGCGCCTACTGACGCAGTGTGCGACACCCAAACTGGCGCTACCTGTCACCTGTTCCCTGACACGTGTGGCACCGCAATCAAACCAGCTGCCGTCTTCCACATCAGCAGTAAAGCTACCGCGAGCACGGCAACAACTGCGGACGACGCTCCAGTTCTGCCTGCGGTGAAGCGACACGATCATGATCCACCAGCCACGCAAGCATGTGGTCAGCATGCCGTCCCACACCCAAGTTTTCCTGTGCCAGCTGAACAAGGTGGTCCCGCATCCACATACACGCCGTACCATGCCCTGGCACAGCTTGAGCCTTCTGTGATGCACGACTTGCCGCCGAATGCCTCTGAAGACAGCGCGGAGGAACTTGAGCCAAATCAGCACTCCCCCCATGAGTTTCAACGAAAGTCGTCATCACGAGTGCTGCTCAAGTTCAGGCGACAGAGATGTGCCAGCATCTGTACCATCCAGGCACATCACCAGCTCCTGCCACCAGGCCATCTCTGTTCAATGGGCCTGCCTGCCGCTTCCTCTACAGCCCGTCGGAGATCGCAGTGTGCGTTGCAGAGCTTTTCTTCCGGCATGCCGTTCCAGGGACCATCGACCAGCGTTCTTATGCCCGCACCTTATGCAGACACATCAATTTCTCAATGACGCTCGCGCCTGCCTACGCCGGTCATGCAACACTTTTGACACCTGCTCTCATAAGGCATCCCCGCGCTCTGTACCATACTCACTGAAGTGTTACCTGAATGGCAACCAATGGTACCTCCGATGCCTGCGGCCACACGAACCTTGGCGGATTGCGTCACTGCTGCCTACAGCATCTGTTCGGTGCACACCTCGCCCACTCCGCGACTCCCAGTGTCGCCCGTCCGAGACCCACTGCTTCCCGATGCCCCATACACGTTAACAACCTGGACTTCCAAAATGGACACTTTACATATTGTCGTTAATGCATATAGTAGCTGTCCCTCTCTTTTGTACATATTGTCGCGACGTGAAGACAGAGGTCGTATTTGACAAAGCTGAGAAAGCAGCAGCAGGTCGGTTTTTTATTTACCGCGCGCCAGAGTTCCTCGTCTTTCTCATTGTTGCTTTCTGCATGCACTGTCCCATTCGCCTTTCTCGCAGGACGCACGTGACAATGTGTTTTCAATCGCGCAAAACGCTGGGGGGAAGGGAGAGGGAGGGAGAGCTTATGTAGCGCCATGCTAGATTCGGTCAGGTGGCTGCGCCAAAAAAGAAGAGAGCCGCGTGGCCCGTGTGGCGCATGCGAGCCAGGAGGAATTGCAGAACGGCTGAGCTCCTGGCCTGGCTGTACGCTGCAGCGGCGACCGGCCTACGCCAGCGTCCCGAATAAAAGCTGCGACTTCGGCACGGGCTCATTGCCGTCGCCTCGCCTCTCCTTCCTCAACAGGCTTATTCAGGCTGTCTGTATCTGTTTATTTGTTGAGTGTGATGACTGCCTATAACCCTCGTTTTTTGATTATACGACCGTTCTGCATGGTCCTATGAAAGTTCTATACCATATTTACTTGCAAAATGAACGCACTTTCTCTCCAAAGATCAGTGATATGTTGGGGGGGGGGGGGGGGGGGGGTGTTTATTATGCGGAGTAACTTTTATGAAAACTTCTTTTTTCAGAATGAGCAAAAAATGCGGTAATGCAAAAAAATATAATAATAAGTTATATCGCTTAGCCTTTCATAATCAACACGGGCGTACGCTGTTTGGAAACAGCTTCTTTGTTGCACCTCATTCATCTTCGGTGGTTGATGGCGCTATCTTTTGGAAACAGTCCCCGCGTCGACCGCACAGGCCATAAAAGCACTTCACGGCCATCTTTTCTCGCAATCGTTTGACCGCTACAATGGCATCTGTTGTGACCTCTAGGAACGCCTAGAAGCATGTGCTACGATGCACTTTGTCAACTTTGCAGCAGCATCGCATGACGACCGTGATGCCACGATCGCCATTGTATCAATTGTAACTAACATTGCAGCGAGCTTCCATCGAAGCATGAAAACAAACCGTCGATAACAATTAACGACAAAATATGAAGGCCGCTGCCTTGCTGTCAACATGATAAGTTGCTGTAGAAAGGTAGCCTATATCTTTCGTTCCTTAAATTACGCGCGGATAACAAGCAGAAAAAGCTATCGATTTACTCGAGTCTAGGCCGATTCCTCGAGTACAAAGCCCAGAAAAAAAAATTACCTCGTATGTAGGCCAAACGATATAGCGAAGACAGGGTTCACAAAGAGATAACATTTATTGAACAGAAAGATGAAACAAAGCAGTTGGTTCATGGTGCAAATACAGTCAAACTTCGCTACAGCGAATGCCACATTAACAAAAAATTCACGGTTCCCCGTCGACAGTCCATACGATTCAATGCATAAGTATTGTCGCCACTGTCTTCTGTCATCCCGCTTCAACAAAATTTCATGATGCGATTCCAGGCTCACATCTTTATTGCTACACAGTAAACCCAATCTTTAACATTTTGATGCATTTCCAGAACCTGGAAATACGTCGACGAAGTCTAAAACACGCGTTGGCACCACCACAAACCGCTGCTGTCCAGCAAGCATGGGCGCTGTCATTGCTCGATAGTGATGCCAATGAGACTGCCCTGCTTTTGCCACTGGCTTGCTTTGAGCTGCAGACAATTCGAAGCTGAAGCTCAGTCACTCAGTTCAAGGTTTTCTTTCACGCAGCTGTGCGAAACGATGCCTTTATCGTTGCCACTGCGTATCATTTCGTTCGCGCTTGCCCACTGTGGCAACTAATCAGAGCAGCTGTTCATCCGCATTATCAACAAAATCAGATAGCCGCGAGTGGTGGAAGATAAGAATTACGGAATCAGGCAAAAAGTCACCGCTCCAAGATACCCTGCCTCCATCTCGGTGTTGTCGGATAGATTTTGACGGCGGACACCTGCTGGTGTTAACGTGTTAATGCAGCTGTTTGGTTTGTTCATGAAAGCGGTTGTAGGCCTTGTTTCAGCGTGCTTTTCACCATGGTCTTGCAATGCATGGGTGAGAATCGCGTCGCGACGCTGCTGGAAAAAAATAGAAAGCCGCGAACACTTTTTGAATTTTGAAAATGACCATTCCTTTGTTTTGCTAGCTCAGATCAGCTATATTTTTTAGATTTCACTACAACAAAATTTTTTCCACGCCCCGTCAGTTTCGTTGTAATGGGGTTGGACTGTAACTCGAGAAACTCCCAGCCGCTAGTCCTCTTCTGTGTCCTTGTCGTCATCTTTTTCGCCCTGCTTCCAGTTACTTGCATCATAAAAGATGCCGCACTTGCCGATTCCACGCTCATTCTGACTCGTCATCGCTGCTTCCTTTGTAGCTTTTTTTATAAACGCTGTGCAATCCTCGGTGCCATCAAGCGCACTAGATATGCCACACAAATGGTCAGTGACGCTTGCCTATTTTGCTATGACTTTTTTTTTTAGTTTTGTGTTATTTGTGGAGAGAGCATGAGCCCTCACATGCAAGAAGTTCGCGCCTTTGTGGCGGGTTTTCGATCAACCATGTGTACTGTCCTATCAGTGGACAAGCAGGCGAAGATTTGCCGAGAGTTGTGTAAGGGCGGAGCAATGAGAGCACAAGAAGAGGCCCCGGAGCTCTGCCAAGCGTTTTGAACCGGGCTTGAGGTGTTAGGCACCATCGGCTCCGCCGAATCCCGTAGGGTCGCCCCACAAAAGACTGTTCATTTCCAAATGGTTTTTCATTTCCTTTTTTTTTTTGTAACGTTGATGTCCGTATTCATGGAACTGTTGTACAGTCGGTAAACACAAGTTTTTCTCAGCCCACTAGAACTTCTCCAGCGTTTCTGCTTCATCTTCAACCGACCAGCAAGTCAATCGCTGCGATTGGAATAGGGGCAGCACGTTTCATCTCTCTCTTTGCTATACCCCCCTCGGGTGGCGAGTCTCAGGCGCTGAGTGGTGAGGGTTTTTACAACATCGAGAAGAACCCGGATTTTATTCCTATTGCAACAAAATAGCATTCCATATAAAAATAAATTTTATATCCAAACATATACCGTTTCATCTATAACAAGACTATTGTTTTTCAATTCGTTACAACACTCGATTCCTTACATACACGGGCATGAAGTCAAGGTGGTATTACGAATTAATTCAATAAAGACTGCACATTTTGTCTAAACAAGCATCTGTACTGCACTCTGTGTTTGTTCGCTTACGCGAGACAATGGCACGAAAAACACAAATGGGCAGATAGCTCTTTAAAAAAGATAAATAAATAATAAAAACTTAAAAGCCCTGCCCCTTACGAGGCATTAAGGGCAAGCAATGCTAGGAATGTGTGTGCATGACATATTGGTTCTTTTCTTTTTGTATCAAATTCACAAAATGCCTTCTCCTGAGCTTTTCCTTCTTCCATTCGTGGAATTGGACCTTAACCCACGTAATTAGCAGCGCTGCACGTAAATTTGAGACTGAGAAATGACATATCACTTTGATAAAGATCCAATTTTTCTCCATCAGAAACGGCTTATTGCCGACAAGTCCGTGACCGAGAGTGCATCAGTTATAAAAGAAAAGGTTGCATACAAATACGCATGTGACCTGTGCACCGTGGAGAGCCTATGCATGCACTTGCTTTCTTTCTTTATCAGCATCATTCAAGCGGTGACCCCTGGACATGATAGCACCTAATCATGTGAGAACGGGACTTCCTACAAGACGTGCAGGTACTGACAGTGCACTTGCCAGAGACTCTGTCTGCTGTGCTGTTTTCTCCGCTATGCATATGCACCTCATCTGTGCCTTATCTAGATAGCCTTATCTGTGCAACCAGACGTTCATCAGACAGCTAGAGTGATGCCGACTGTTGTATCAGTGATCTCGTTGCCTTTCAATGATGAAACTATTGTAACCTGGAGTCCATGATTGTGTTACATGTCAAAGCCCTTCACAAGAGGTGTTGATGTAACAAACAACAGAGGACATGCACTGAGCCTTGATCAGGAAAAGGGACAACACCACTGCCGTGCCATTTTTCGTGTCTTTCGTGTCCTTCTTGTCTCTGTGTCGTCGTTTTGTTCTCGCGCTATAACTATCGTAATGCCATACCAACTAGCCCAAGCTGCCACACTTCTAAGCCATTTTGAAGTTCCATCATTCGTACGCACCATATTTCTGTCAGCGTTTCAACATGCGGGAGCTGTTCCGGAGGTATCTATTAGACATCCAAGTTTTTGTACTATTTGTACTTATCTTAAACACAGCATATGCAGCTAGCTCTTCGCACGTTCAGTGGGCGTCGAAATTTTTAAATAGCGACCCAGATGCTAGACACTCGCGAATAAATGAATGTCACGTGAGTACTCCCTATAGGACATAAGAAACAACTGTGTGCCTATATCTTGAATTTCTGCTTAAAGCGTGCTTTTTGTAAACTGTATTGTTCAAAGATTGCAAGTTTCTACACCCACGATCCCGCACACTCACGGGCGCAGAGTTTCTCGCGAACCAAAATGCCACTGCCACCAAAATCTGCAACTCACACAATCTTTTCTTTTAAAAAAAGAATCAGACAAAAAAGGCCTATATGCAGGCTTACTAATCTACGGTTGGCAACAGTGAGGCAGCACACCTTGGTCGAGCCGTGGCGAGTCGCTGCGCATGCCGTTGCTTTTGAGGACACCGTTCGAGACCACAGACGGCTGGTGGGCCACCAGCACCTTGGGTTTGCTGTTGGTGAACGCCGGCATGAGTGGGGATCCCCCTAAGTGGTGGGCGCCACCTTGCGGAGAGACAAGAGATACGATTGTTGGGTGTGAATGCCCCGAACCATGGTACGATTGTAAGAGACACCCTAGTGATGGGCGTCGATAATTTTGACCAGCCGGAATTCCTCAAAGGACACAAGGCACTAAATAGAAACCTGGGGATGCTTATGCAGTTTTGTGCTGAACACATGGGCACTTCTGACCCCGATTATAATGGTGAATATTGCCTTTATCATAATTTTTAAATTTCGTTTTAATAATAATATATGGGGTATTACATCCAAAAATTATGACATCATTACGAGAGACTCCGTAGTGAAGGGCTCAAGAAATTTCGACCATCTGCCGCTCTTTAATGTGCACTAGTGTCGCCCAGTGCGTGGCCTCTATCATTTCACGAAGGCAGGACCACTTCTCAGTTTAAAACACTTTTTGTCTAGCAAGCAGCACAGAATAAAGCGATGATGAATAATAATATCCATACTGTCATTTTGAGCAATAATTATGGTACGCAGAAAAGCATTAGACAATGCACAGAAAGAGAAACGATTCTATAATGGGACATCAAGGCTCTTCTGCTAGACTATGTAAAATACCGTTCTTCTGCAACCTTTAAACGTAGTTTGTAACAATAAATCATACTCAAATCACAAAAACTATTCTTGAACCTGACACTATAGTTCACGGTCCTTTTATTTCCACCAGGATCCAATCACACATTCTGGCCAGTTGTCTTCCCCTTGAAAAATGGGTAAGATTAGTTACCTGGTGAGCCTGGTGCCGACTGGCTGGCCTTAATCTCCCGGGCCAGGTACGAGGCCTGCGGGGGTGCCAGGCCAGGGGGAATAGCCATCATGGCAGCGGGTGGCTGCAAGGGGGAGCTGGGGGCCCCCTCGGGAACCATGCCTTCTGGCACGGGACTGGGCTCCCGTGACAGCGAGTCTGGCGTCACCAGGCCGCTGTGTGCACCGTGGCTTGGCGACGCCGGCGCCGACCTGCGTGAAGAGATTCGTCACACGACTCGTGAGATGGGCCGCCCCCCCAGGTTACAACACAAGCAAAAGTAGACTGTGATGTGATTGGAAATGATTATAGAACTTTCACTGTTCCTGGCTTATACAAAAGTGAAACAGTTTGAGAAGTTTGCTTCTTTACTAAACACGATTATTAAAACTAAATAGCTAAGCAAAACACAGAGGTCATTTTTTATTATTCCTTTAACTGTAATGTAACTATTAAGACAGAATTGAAAGGGATTTAAGAAGGTGAAAAAGCACTTTCTTCATCAGTGGTATCCAAACCCACTACCTTTAGATTACGTGTCTGATGTTCTACCTATTGTACTATAATGAAGGGTATTCCCCTATCAACTTTTTGTTCAAAATTTATGCCTGTCTAGTCCCTGGGCGTGTTAGCCAGCACTACAGGTGGCCAAAGTGGCAAGTGTGGAACACTTTATATAACTGCGCACAGTCATTACTGCGCACAGTCATAATCTCACAACCTGATTGCCTTTGTTGACCTTTCCCCAACCCATATAACTCTCTCAAGGTAAACTTGATAAATTTTCAAACTGTCAATTCTGTCGCAGTTTTTCTTAAAGTGTGACAGTGAGCCAGTAAAATCTGCTTCCTACATAAGGTGTTATATACTGCAGAGACTAATGGGACTTCTTGCCTTAAGTGTGCCCACACCATGTAGGGGTGCCAACACCTCCGTTCAATATCATTAGCACTAAGGCGACGATTGGGGCTACACATGAACCTCATTATAACAAACTCTCATCTTACATAAAAATAAGTTTGTTACATCCAAAAATTCGTTATAAAGGTTTATTCTTAACACTAACTTTATTGCAAGACTTTTTTCATTTACTTTGTTATAACCAATATTTCGTTATATCAAGGTATGACTGTAGTTCGTTCTTTCAAAACTTTTGATAGTGGATTGCAATCTTATTGAAAGAATAACAATGAAGAACGCAGTTGGACAGAGGTTAACAAGGCAAAGTGCAGAGGAATGTATTTAAAGGCCAGAACAGGATTTCTTTGTTTTTTTTCGTTGAGGTTGCATGCCTTAGAAATAAAGAAAATCCCTCTTCGTCCACGTTTATTTCTTGACATTTACTTTACTCCAAATAACCCCTTACACTTTCATTGGCATTATTGTTAGTTAGCTCTCATTAATATAGTGTCTAACAAAACAAAACAAAAACGAGCCCTTCCATGTACACTGCTTTCTTTCATAGCGTAGCTACGATTAGACGTCCCTGAAGAGCCTTAGCACAGATCACTGAGTAAAGCTCTTGCTGCCAATATGTAGAGGGCCAAGTCACGTGTATTGAGAAACGGTCGTCGAAATCGCCAACCTTGAGGAGGCAAAGGGCGTCCGGAAGCAGGGCAGCCCTCGTTGCCGCCGTCTGCGGAATGCCTGCTCAACGAGCTTGACCTCCGACTGGGGGTCGATGCGCCAGAATGAACCTTTACCCGGTTCCTCCTGCGACCGAGGAACTTTGACGAAGTACCGGTTCAGGCTCAGGTTGTGCCGGATAGAGTTCTGTGTTGAACAGAGCAAGAGCTATTGAGGGCACACACACAGCAGTACGCATGCGGTAATTCCGCACTGTTAATAAACACTGGTGTTTTACTTGCCAAAGCCATCTGATATAATCATGAGGCATGCCATAGTTTGCCGCACATGTGAGCCCCATCTAGAACGCCATGTTCACGTGCATTAAAGAGAGGCATGCGCTGGGCTATCACAAAAAGCATGAGAAATCGCAGATGCTCTTCTAAAACAGCAGCTTGCTAGATACCATGACAGAAAACTTATTAGAAGCAACCTCTACGGCCATACTGTCATTGTGAGTTGTTACTAACACAATTAGTCGCGTAATCCTCGTACTCGCATATTTCTCGCACATATTTTTTTTCCCGGGAGTAATTATCGCACCCCCGAAAATCTCCGCAATCATTTCGTCTGCTCGTGCCAGCCAGTGATGATAGCGTGCACGATCTGTTGCCATCTCTTAAGCATAAAGCGTATTATTATTGCACAGAGATTCAATCCAAGCCGAGCTAAAGTGGCAAGTGCACATTGCGACGTGTTTTGTATGTTGTGTTGGTAATGCTGTTACGTTATGGGGCGATACGGAAGCTACACAGCTACTTTCAAGTTAAAAGTGATTGATGCTCTAAACAACGGCAATAGGGCTGCCGGTAAACCTTTCGAGTCGACGAGTTTTGTGTTCGCTGCTGGTGACAGCAGCTGAACAGCATCAAGACGCATTGCGCCATTCGTGCGCCTCAGACTGGCATGGATGGTAAACTTTATTTCGTCAGAAAGCAACAGCGGACGATTCTGTGCTAAATGGCCATCAGCCCAATACTGATGTTGAACGCTGACCTTTTACGGGCTCCTGTTGAGAGAGGAATGCTACCACTACGCCCGCAAACATGGCGTACAATATTTTGATTCTCGATTATTTGCCTGTGCCGCTTGAGTCTCAAATAAATCTTGTTTTGTGTTGAACCTGTGCTTTTATGGTTGAGGTAAGTCTTAATTAGTACTTCTCAAAGCTTGCAGTTAGTTGCTGGCGTGAAGATCCCGATTTGCGATCACTTCGTTTTCCTTTTCACGAAGTACATTTTCGCGGAAAGTTTTCCCCGCGTTATTTTTGCACCCCCAACTTTTCACTTTTCATTGGTTTTTCATTAAAAAAGAAAGTGTGAAGATTATGTGGGTAAATACGGTTTGTTAAAGGAACCGGAACCAAGAACCGCTCGGATCATGAACTGAGATTACAATAATAATAAAAGAATTGTCTACTTTATCCTGTAGGACAAACCCTGTTTCTCTGATTAAATTCAGATTTATATTTTCATTTCTATACTCAAAATTACTTCTAACCCTTCTGATGGCTAAAAAGTAAACGTGCACATGTACTTTTAGCGGTACTTTTTACTGGTGTATCTTTTGATATTAGCATTGACATGCAGATATGCATTCGTTCGCCCTGAGCAGAACAATGGCACCGATTTTGCTTGACGTATGACCCGATGCTCATTAGCGGCAGCATGAACTTTGTTAGCAGAGAGCCCAGTGGTGCCTGCCAATGTGTTTGAAAAGGGTGAAGAGCGCCTCACGGCCTTCGAGATTATTTACGGGGACAAATTGCCAAAACTAATCTCAGAGGCCACGAGTGCCTGCTCACAAGACCGCAAAGAGATATCTTGCGATGATGAGCATTTGGAAAACCTATTCTACCTGCTATTATATTCCAAAATGGCAAAAAACGTCAATATAAAGGCGGTTAACCAGTTTCACCTGCTGCTGTGAAAGCCGAAGTTTGAGCATAACGGGAGGAGCACTATTGGCATCGCTACTACTTCACAGCTTTGTTGGAAGACATCTACGAAGATGTCAGGGGCTTTTCAGATCAAGAAAGTACAGATAATAATATAACCACATGCTTTTGGGATTAACCACTGCATCTATAGACACTACGAGCTTTATGTTGCAGCATAACAGACTGGTTTGAAAAAAAAAATCGGTTGGTGGTCCCTTCAATACCACTGTCAGTAAAAATGCTGCTAGTATTAAAGTACCCGAGTCGCGCTACAGCGCAACATGACAAAGAGCAATTACAGCAATTACAGGAGAGAGAGGGACATAGCTTGGAGGAGGCGGGACTGACCTGCCATCCCTTGTCGGCCGTGCGGTAGTAGGGGTAGTTCTTGGTGATGTACGAGTAAATGCCGCTCAGCGTCAGCTGCTTGTCCTGTGCCGACGAGATGGCCTGCACGATGAGCTGCGCGTACGAGTAGGGCGGCTTCTGGTCCCCATCCGGACCACTCCTGGAAGAGGCCGTCAAGGAACACTACTCGCACCAGGACCCAAGCATAACAGTGCACGCACTCGTTTTACGAAGAGAGATTGGCTAGGTCATAGCGTACAACAATGCGGCGCCAAGTCATTGTGATGCCAATTTCGTACTCGTCGAGGCTCATATGGAAACGTATGTGAGACAAAATATAAATGAAAGATCGACTAAGTGCATGCAATCTTCATGCCAATTTACATCTTTCGATCTTAATCTCTTGTATATGTCTGTTTCCACATGTTTTTTCTAAAAACATTCTGGTTCTCTGTTTCATTATACAGTTAAACCTAGATATAACGAAATTGATTACTTCCCGGACAAATTCGTTACAAAGAGGATTTTGTTACATGTAGGTTCAGTACGAAAATTAGAAAAATAAACATCATAATTCAATGAAAGGGGAACTGGAGACAGAGCTAACCTAAAACACCTATTTAGCGGCAAGAAGACCACGTTATTATTGCGATAGCAATTATATGGACACTCTCAGCGGGTGTTTGCTGTCGCCCCACGTTCCATAACAAGTCCGAATTGATAGCATGCCGCCGCGCATTGTAACTTTCACAAGAGGTTAAAAGTGTGTGCACGCTGCTAAAGCAGAGATCGAATGAGCCGGCCCATCTTTATCGCCTCGAGCGCGCCTAGAATAACATTACCCCGCGTGTTGGAATGGCCGTTGAATGTTAAAAGAGAAAGGAAACCACCAGCATTGAACGAGCATGAAGAAATGCTGAACGTAGGCGGGGGGGGGGGGGGGGGGGGGGGGGGGGGAAGGCATCACTTGAGTAGCACCGGTGAACTTTGATTTTAAGGTCGCAATCGCTTGCGCCCGTGCCATTTCAACAAGCATCAGTGCATTTTCAACGCGAAGGGACTGTGTGTAAAAGAGCACTTTTCTCTGAAGCGGCCGTATTTTCTTACACCGCATTTTATAGGAGTTCCGCGATATCTGGTTTAAAAAGGTTCGTATAAGATTACTATTTGCTGCCACAGTCAAACCCCTTTATAAGAGACGCTGATATAAGAGACAGATGGGTACAAGAGACATCAGTGTGCCCGTAGTAAAATCCTTGTCGACAATAAAATGCACACAAGGTTCCCTGTTTGTAAGAAGCATCTCGTATAAAAGACAAGAACTGCTGCTCGGAGCATGTCTCTTACAAAGGGGTTCAACTGTATTCCATTCATTGCACTGCATTCAACACGCTAGCGTGTTGTTACCAGAGCTATGCCAAAGAAGCAGTTGACAATTTACGATTTCTTTAAAGCTCTGATCAGCAGTAAATGGCTGATAAACTAGTGGCTCTTGCACCTCTGCTTTCTATTCACTGCATGCAGTTAGGGTTTAAAAACGCTCTAAAAAATTTTGAATCTGGTAAAATCAATACCTAATCATAAGGTATAGTATAGTGTCACCTCACCCACAGTCATATATCTCAGAACTTGCGATAATTGAAACAAAATTCAGAAGTCCCTTTGAGCTTGAATTAACGAAAGTCGACAATGTATGTTAATGCGACAGCTATATTCTCTGACCTTTAGAGAATAATCGCGTTGGGCTTCCTGTAGGCAGGATCAAGGATACAGTCAAACCCCGCCACAACGAACGCCGCTTCAACGAAATTTCCGCTAGAACAAAAAATTCACGGTTCCCCATCAACAGTCCATAGGAGTTAATGCGTAAGTATTGTTGCCACAACGAACACTTTTTCTTCTGCTGTTTCGTTTCAACGAAATTTCACGATGCAATTTCAGGCTCAGATATTTATTGCTATTAAGAAACCCAATCTTTAACACTTTAATGCATTTTGAGAACCTGAAAATACGTTGACAAAGTCTAAATTTAAATTGCACGTTGGCACCACCAGAAACCGCCGCTGTTCAGCAAGTATGGGCACCGCCTTTGCTCGATAGCGATGGCCATGAGACTGCCCTGCTCATGGAGGATGGCCCTGCTTTCGCCACTGGCTTGTTTTCGAGCCGCAGACAATCCGAAGCTGAAGCTCAGTCGCTCAGTTCATGGTTTCCTTCACGCAGCTGCTGCATGCAACTCGGAGCGATGCCTTTTCCGATTTCAATGCTTATCATTTTATTCGCGCTCAGCCAGCGTGGTACCTAATCAGAGCAGCTGTGCGGCCGCATTATCAACCAAATCAGCCACCTGCGAGATTTGTATAAGAATGGCATAGAATAAGGCAAACATCACCACTCCACGATACCATGCCTCTATCTCGGCGTTGTCGGATACACTTTGACGGCGGGTGGCTGCTGGTGTTAACGTGTTAATGCAACTGTTTGCTACATTTATGAATGCAGTTGTAGGCGTTATTTCAGTGGTTTTCTCCATGGCCTCGCTATGTATGACTGTGAATTGTGTCGCGACGCTGCTGGGAAAGAATAGAAAGCAGTGGACACATGTTCCTTTGTTTAGCCAGCTCAGATCAGCTATATTTTATTCGATTTCATTACAACGAAATTCTCGCTTCAACTAAATATTTTCCGCGCTCTGCGAGTTTCATTGTAGTGGGGTTCGACTGTATATGTTTTCTTCCTTAGGCCTGTTGCTCCAACAAAAATTTCATGAAAGAGCTTCAAGCTCATGTATTTCCGTCTATCTTGCGAAGTCGGCCATGCAAGATCGGCTCTTATACCAGAAGAGCTTATCGTAAAGTCGTAGTTGGAGAAAACAAACCAAGCTGCACGTTTCTGAACGCGTTCTAATTCGGCAGTGCAAGCCTTTGCACCTAGGTCCCATGCAGAGCATCCGTATTCCAAAATAGTGTGCATGTTTGAAAAGTAAAGTTTCTTTCAACTTAGGAGGAACTTTCTTGAAGTTTTGCATGAGGAATTTGAGAACACGGCAAGCCTTAGCTGTCACAGAGTTATTGTGGTCAGTTCATGAAAAGTCATTCTTATACAAAACACCTAAATACTTACAATTTGAAGCAATCGTCAGGCTTTCACCATCAAGACAACACTTGCTATCAAGAATGTGAAATATATTAGTTAAACTGAACAACTTTGCACTTAGAAAAGTTCAGCCTCATATTCCATTTATTGCACCTCAGTAGTATTGCGTCCAAGTTTATGCGCGAAAGAAAATTCCAGATCCTTGCTGGGGCTCCTGAATCAACCTAGCTACTCATGCTGTGGTTAGGTGCCAACCAAAAAAAGTAAATAAATAAATAAAAAAAATAAATGTACAGGTCCAGGTGCCACGTAGGCTGACTTTGGAGCACGAAGAAAATTCTCACCCGGGCCCAGAGTTGTTGCTGTTATGAGACGCTGGTCCACTTGAGCCAGTGGTCGGGACCTCTTCGTGCCTCTCCACAGCTGCCGCGGCCAATTGCAGGTCGGAGGTGATGTTACGACGATGGTTCCCCGACCGGGGGCTCGCTGGACAAGAATTGGCCGCACTGTGAGGAGGTGGAGAAGGGTTTCTGTATCAGTGTTCCACGTCCGGGACAAACAGTCACGCACAATGGTAGAGTAAAAGATTAGTCAAGAACCACATATGCACCTTGTCAATGAAGGCTTCCATGGGCACCGTCATAATCCACTATAGGCTGTTGTTATTACAGTTGAGCCCCTTTATAACAGGCATGCTCTGGGTAGCACTGTTTGTTTTTATGAGATGTTTCTTATAAGCAGGGTAGCTCGAATGCACTTTCTTATAAGCCCGTGCTTAACTGTAGGCACACTGATGTCTCTTAGAATACCCATTTGTCTCTTATATCGGTGCCTCTTATAAAGGGGTTCGACTGTATTCATGATCCCCCCAAATGCACTCCCTAGACTGTGGTGTCAACTTTTGCACTCCAGTGCAACAGTCCAGAAAGAGGTGACCGTTCTTCCTGTTGACAAACAAATCTATGGGCGAAATAAACACCGAATGTCAGCTAATGTTCATCACTACACACAATGTCGGCCTGGAAGATGTTTAAAGGGAAGCCGCTAGAGATGGTATTTGGAAACGATCGTTAGAGGTGACGGTGTCACCTTTCGCGACGTATAGCCCAACGACTTGCTAATGACATCATTGCCACGCTGACTTTTGGTGGTTTAAACTTTTCCAGAAGACTGTACTGTACGAACGCCAAAGAACCCGAGTCCTGTATTTTCGTGTGCAGAGTGGCTAGGAACGTAATGGCTAGGCTTGGCTGTGGCTACTTGAAATGTAAAAGTGCTTTCAACGTCACTCATGTAATTGTTTCCCTGCCCGGAATCTATTTTTGGTGAGAGTATTAACATGCCATATTCAGAGTTCAACTGTGGCATGCCACCACATGACATCATCTCAATATGCTGCTGGCACGCGATAAATTGTGCGAGCGCAAGACGACTGCAGGCACGTTTGAACCCCAAAAAGTATGCACTTGCAACAACAGTCACTTAAAACACATCAAGGGGTGTAAAAAATGCTGTCAATGAAACGCTACACTTTACCACCAGCTGACAGTGATAAAGTGTATTTGTCTATTCCAGGGATGTTAGGAGCTCCATAGAGCACCTTGATGCCGATGGAAATACAAGACGGCACCCTCACTTGTCCAGTTTTGCCAACCGAATGCGACAATTTGGCGATTGTCCTCATTCATAGTTTCTGAGCACAGCTCTGGACACTAACTCACAAAAGTGTATTAAACGTGCCCTGTCCATGTGACAGGCTTTGCGTGGAATTTTTCAGAGAAGTACTTCACAGCCTTAAAGCCTTAAGAAATGGTCCTTGCAATTCATTTCTGGTAGACTACAAAACTTTACTGAGCTTGTTCTCATTAACAGGCATACGCACGAAGACGACTGGGTTCACGATATTTCACGCTTGGACTTATTGTTGTAGCACTGCAAATCACCAGCCTACAACCACGACAAGGTCAACGATAAAGAACGCACAACAGAGCCTGAAACTTGTTGCACATTTGGCGTGAATTACAAGTTTCTTCTAGAACTTGTTTTGATAACTTCAGGCAGTAGTCGTCGTCAATCACAACAATGAACAAAGACAAGAGGGACAACAAGTGAAGCGCTCTTGCGCTCGTAGTGACCGCACAACTGCAACAAGCAAAGGACCGTGCCGCGGTGTGTTCTTTTGTTTCTTCATGTCCCGATTGCACAACAGAGGTTTGCAATGACCGGGTTCCCTTCGGAAGGCAAGGTGACCCACCTGAGTGTGCCCGTGGGCGATGGAATGGGACTGGTGAAACTTGACTCGGGCTCCGGGATGTTGATCTTGAGTGGGGCGAGAGGACGTGGCAGGTGGTGCGGTGCCAGCTGAGGGGGAGGCGGCTGCCGCGGAGAGGCGGTCAGGGGCCCCGGGTCCAGGCGCGGAGGCGGCGGAGCCACCCCGCTACCACTCACGGGCCCCACCTCGTCCACCAGCGACTGGAACATGATCTTGATGTTGGTGCTAGGAAAGCGAAACACACATCTGCAGGGAGAAAAAATGACGACACGCAATGGTCAGTAACCACTGATAATAGTAATTACACGCCAAAACTGCCATATGACTAGAAGGCATGCCAATTTGGAGGGCTCTAGAAATTTCGACCGTCCGGTGTTTGTTAACGTGCACTAATCGCACAATACACAGGTCTCTAGCATTTCACTCCCATCGAAATGCGACCAATCAAATTGACATATATGACACTTGTGTGTCCCCAAAGACAGGGAAGTGGATGACAGGTACAATGTATCAACAACTACCAGAGCAGCGTGTTTTGTTATAGGGCCAATCAACAGGCTCCAACTTTTTTTACACCCCCCAAAGGAGCTCGACAATTTGTAGGGTAGACCGCTGCGATCACGTTTCCCAAATATTACAGAGCTGCGTGCCGTGCAGAACCCCCACTTTGAAAAAATTACCGCGCTCATTTCCTACGCCCAACCAATCCTCCTTTCACAAGCAGGGACACAAAGTCGCTGATCGGCGACTTGAAGTAGCACGCCGCTCGTCAATTGGTCTAAAGCAGTCACCACAACGGGCTACGCCTTCCCATCCCTGTGAGCGAGAAGGGCGACGAGGCCGCGTGAAAATATGAAACCAGCTGAAACTGATGTTTTAACCCTTGTAACTTCTTTAGTATAGTTGTGTATTCTTAAAATTCTTGTGGTAGCTTGTTTCCAAAGCAAAACATGACTAATTTCTCTTTATAACAATTTTTGGACCTTGGGGGTTGTTTACAGACACTTTAAAAGGTTGCCCTAGTGGAATTACAAAGCACTGTCATGCAATGCTGTGACGATTTACAAACATGTCAATCTTCCCAGGAATAAACTGCATGCATACATGTGTACTGTGACGTTATCTTGTGTGCAACCCTTAGAAACCACAGCAATGTAAAGTTCCACGTGACATAAACACAAATACCGGCGTAATGCTGGGCTTCCCTCTCTTCAAATTTAAATAAATTTTTGCCTTGGCTTTTCCCAATCATCAGCGTGAACGAACCGGCCTGTTATCAGCATTTCAACAAAAGAAACAAAAAAAAATTTATGCCAGAAATATTGCCATGAAAGCATTTTCGGTGCATTGCCAAGTGATGCCAACAGGGATTGAACCAGAGAACAAATACTACGAGAACCATGGACAACGATATATGTTGTGTACCGCTTATGTTGACTGAAGCATGAGCTGCAGGAGAGCTTGTGCACAGAGTTATCAGACGAACGTGTCACGTGCTACACTATTATACAAGCACACCTGCAGTCAAACAGGAATAACAATCATTTAGATCAAGCATGATTTGATCAAGCATGACAGTGGCATAGTCAAACAGGAATAACATCGTTTCGATCAAGCATGCCAGTGGCATACAGCGGTTATCGAAAATCACAGCAGCAGTCTCTCTTAACTAGAGATGGATGTGGCTGCTAAAATGAACCCTCCCCTACCCCCTCTCAAGTTGCTACAAAAAATAAGCAAATAGATTTTATTAGGGCTATATTTAATGAAGTTGCACTAACAACGAAACTCATAGTTAACTTACTAAAACCCCTAATTATTACAAAATATAATTATCAAATATAGTCAAAAGTGCCGGAATGAATGAAAAAAAACTACCATAAACACATAGGGCTACATGTTCTATTTGTCAAGGTCTGAAAATAAATATGCATAAAACCTAAGTAATGTGCAGCAGTCTCGAGAGAAAACAACGCTTTGCAGTAGGTGGAGGTACGATGGAAGCTGCGAAGAAACATGTCTGTAAAGTTGTAAAGAAATATGTCTACTTAGCACAGGAGGTAACCGCAAAGCCAAACCATGAGAGTGAAATAACTAGAAGTATAAGGATGGGGTGGATCACATTCGGCAAGCTTTATCACATCATGAATAGTAACCTACCACTAACCCTCAAGAAAAACGTATATAATAGCTGGATCTTGCTGATATTTACATACGAGGCAGAAACCTGGAGGCTAACAAAGAGGGTTCAGCTTCAATTGAAAACGATGCAGCGAGCGATTGAAAAAAAAAAACTATAGGTGTAACCTTAGTAGTAAAGATCAGGGAACAAACCGGAGTTAAAGATATCATAGTCGAAATCAAGAAGTAGAAATGGACATGGGCCAGGCATGTAACGAGCAGGCAGGATAACCACTGGTCATTAAGGTTAACAGACTGGATTCCCACAGAAGGCAAACACATGAAGGGGAGAAAGAAAGTTAGGTGGGCCGATGAGATTAGGAAGTTCACAGGCATAACGTGGCGGCAGAAAGCCAGAGACCGGGTTGATTGGTCAATCATGTGAAAGGCCTTTCTTTGTCCTACAGTAGGCCCAGTCAGGTTGACAATGATGACCATGTTGATATTTCAAACCGATCCAAAAAGTCCTAGTAGCCCCATGAGCCAATGGCAGGCAAGGGGACAGCGAATTATTGAATGCGACTTAATAAAGCCCAGAACAACAAGCATTCCAGAGCCGTGCGAGGGGCGGCCCAAGGGTGCTACTCATAAAACTTGACCATATTGGAATTTCCGCCAATCAATAGTGGCCTAGCAATCCAATGAGATACAGCATAGCATGAAAATTTTGCAATAAGGTGCAACTAGCACACCGTCCGGACCAGCATGTACCCTGGGTTGAAATTAAACCGCCTTGATCGAGTCAAAAAGGAAGAAATGTCTGCGGTGTCCTGCAGCAAGAGGACTTGAAAGTATCTTGCCAGTTGATGTCTTTCCTTCATGTTAGGCCGAAATGCTAGGATGCATGAAAGAACAAAGAGAAAGACAATGACCGCATAGCCCGCCTCGCTTTCCACAGCTGGAATGAGAAGCCGCGTTTGCAAACAAAGCAAGAGACGGGCAAGCCATTCTTTTCCATCTCTTGAAAAGCCTCCCGAGCAAAGCAGAGACAATAGACGAGCGGATCTGTCAGTCAGACAGCTCCTCCCACGCCAGACCTCAACCGCTCGAGCCAGTTAGACAGAGCACGCCAAACATGCGACGCTCAGCTAGTACAGGCCACCTGAGAAAAACAGCGCCTGCAACTTGCAGCCGCAAAGTCTAAAATTTACTCTTTTATTTTGGGACTGTCGAAGAGAATGAACCTGCCCTCCTCGAGAGGCAACACTGTTGCAGCTACAACCGTTGTTGCCCCTCAAAAGCAACGACTCAAGGTTCTCCACAAGGAGCACGGACTAGTCACCTTCCAATGTCGGGGCAAGCAGCAGACCAGGCCGATCGTAAAATGCGGAGGTTGGCGGAATCCCAGACACAAACAATGCGGAATAAATAATTCACCGTTTCAGCCATGTACTACTACAGCTGGCCCATTGCTGCCAAGAGATATCCTTGCTTCACGAGTGCTCATGAACATGCAGGGGCATGAACATCCAGAAAGAAAAGTGAGCACTGAAATGCATCCAAACTAAAAGCTAAGCAAAGCATGCCATGTTCTCATATGCACGAAATAGCTATAGATTTGAGCACGCATTTCTAGTGGCATTCCTTTGTTAAAATTCAAGAACAGGTGTTTATCACGTTGACCTTCTATACGAGTAACAATGCAAAACTCTGGAAGTGACTACTACTGGAAGTTTGTTGATATGAAGACTGCAGACGTGGCCATGGCTGCCCAATATTCATGTACAGTCTCAATTGAATAACATCAGTAGAAGTGACTGACGGTTTCGAGTCACAAAATTGCAACATGTAGTGCTGCATTTTCCTACAAGAGCACCGACGAGAATGCCAAGTACATTCCATTTTTTAAAGCAGGGGTGGTCAGCGAACCGGTAAAAAGCAGTCCATCTTGCCGTTAGCTCATTCAAAAGCCCACACTTTAAAAAAAATGCTTTTTCATTGCTTATAAGCATATGCGGCTATGCCCACAATATTCTTTCTCATTTACCTGAAGTTGTCAACAACTGTATCTCTATTGCAATTGCCCACAAAAAGCTGCTTCTGGGAGTGCTCTCTGCTGGCCACACCTGCTTTGAATAATGGAACGTGCCTGGCACTCTCAATGTTGGCGGGCTCAGAAAAAAAGGCAGCGTTGCGTACTGCAACCTTACCCACTCCCGCAAACTGTTAACTTGCGTACGCAATGAAGGCCATACGCATTCTTCTCTCCCCCCCCTATATACTGCAAGGACAGTGTATTTGAAATGTTATACAAACATGTTCGGATTTCAGTTCATTATGAAGCCATAAATACATTTCCATGGCCAACACAATGGCCTTTGTGCTCACCTCAGTTTATTTTTTTCCTGCTTTTTCTTTAAAGTATAACTTCTTAGATGTGAAACTATGCATTTAAGCAACTGTAACCAAGTAACATTGCTGTTTCCGTTCTACAGATGATGGTTATTACCGGGAAAAGTGACCAACAATTTTCTGCTAGAAACTAGTTGCTGCCCAATACTACATACAAGGCAGCAAATTGCGACTCTATTTGGCTGCTAAAAAGAAAGGTTCAGTTCTGCTCTGTACAACTTCTCATGAGCACAATGAATCGAAGACCTCGGAATACAACAACTTCATACTTTTTCCGAAGAACCAACGACCCAAATCCGCTTGTCAACCTATCTCGTCTCACTCGACCCAAAACAACCAGCTTGTTTTGTGCTATAACGCGCGAAAGTGTACGCCTCCATAAATTCTCAAGGTCGGCTGTGCCTCTTGTACTAACGCCCCACCTGCGAGTGACGTATGCGCACACTGCACAATGCCCCGGTGTTGTGTCACGGCAATACTTTGGACAATGAACGCGCAACACAGCTGTTTGCCAGAAAGACCCAGCGATCCCCTTCCTCGTCGGCAAGCCCCGCTTTTATTTCCCATTCGCTATAAATTTAAAAAAAAAAACACCTGTCCTCTTGCCGGTGAAAGACGCAACCTCGAAATTCTGGTCACAACCTATATGACAGTGATAAAACAGTGGATATGGGACACTAGAACATCCCTGTCGGTAATGTGTAGGAAAAGAA